CCCCCCCCCACACTTCCTCATGACGCTCTGCCGCACGCGAACTTTATTGTTCCATTTGAAATCCGTCCGTCCGCGGTGTCGTCGACGACGAGACGTCTTAAATAGGGCGTTGAACCGTGTTCTATGAGCTATGAACTTACGGTACCTAAGGCAACGATAAAGCGTCATGCCACCTCGCTTCGTGTTACACATGCGCTGTGTAACTGGCACACGTACACGTCCTTCGTATTGTTTCTATCTTTCGCGCGCGAGCGCAGTCGCGCGTCTGATTGTCATTGTGGATTACATGTTTAATTGCTTCGCATTATGTACGTTTGAAAAGGTACGCGTATTTTTGGAGACAGTCGCAGGCGAGCCATATGTCGCGCGATCGTTAGGTAAAAATGTATTTCAATGTCGAGCGAGAAGTTTCGAATCGCTCGCCAATTAAAAGCGATTGCATAAAAAGAGTATACACAGGGTGAGAGGCCATGACTTTCAATTATCATTTTGAGAATATCCTCGAAAGATAAAAATACTTTATTAACGGCTAGATGAAGATGAAAAAAGTGTATAATTATAGAGAAGGCGCTCGAAGTGATGACCGCATTGGTATCGGTTCAACTTCTGTTAGATCAATTTTTCCTCTACTTTCATATTGTGCATTTCTACTCTCTCACCTTGTGTACGTATATTAAATTAAAATGTTGCAACTATAATACGTAAGCAATAGAAAGAAGCAAATGTCAAGGTTGTAGTGACAAAATTCGGACAAAGATAGGACATCGATGACGAGGATATTCAGTGACGATCGTGATGTTCCGCGGCGCGTTACATAACGTTTCTCTTCGCCGCGCGCGATGAAAAATACCGCGTACCGTTTGCTCGCGCACGCATCATTGACGGTAATTAGAAAGTACGAACGCGCTTTTACAATTAGCTATCGGGGTCGCGTAACAGTGGATTAATTTCCTAATCATGCCGCGACGCGCGGGTTGCAATTTAGAAATCACCGCCCCGTTGCTTCGATATCGTGCGCGGATGTTTCGCGGCTCGGTGTTGAAGCACACGCGCGAAAAGAAGTACGTTCGCACGTGTGTTCATATACATACGTCATCCGGACCCGATAACGAGTGTCTTAATTGCGTCGCGTTCGATACAGTTGCAATATGCTCGGACGAATTGGGCGGGTAAGGTCAACATTCACCTAGCCGTTCTGCTTTCTGTTGACAGATTACGAGTTGCCCATTGATTCCTTTAGAATTCTACACTCCCTCCGATGTGGGCCCCGAGTCTCCCTCTCTCTCTCTCTCTCTTTCTCTCTTTCTCTATTTGCGAATAACTTAACAGGTGAACGACAAGTCGATTCTCCGTTATACATGTATCCAGGCGACCGAATTGACGTTCAACGCACTTCGCCGGCTTTCGCGGTACAACATCGGGGCGATTTCGCTTCTCGGGATACCTCGAATTGGGTCGTTGTTATACAGGGAATTTGCGTCAACAAAGATTCTCCGACGAGCTTTTCTCTCTTGGCGTTGCATTCGCTCGAAGGTCGCTCGAAGGTGGCCGTCTGATTTTCCTTTCGCGTTAATGATTCAGAAAGTCGCGTGCGATGCTTTCTAATGTACAATTCGCTATTCGCACCACCGATCTCCCGTCTCACGAACGCGGCGTTTCTACAATCGAGGCTTTTTTTCTATGCATTCGAGAGCTCGCGTTATCGCGAGCGAACCGAACTGAAGTGAAAATAACGCGACATTGACCCAGTAAACTCGCGTGCCGTGGACGGCGCGTGATAAGGATCTCCCTCGATGTTCTTAATTGCGATCACATGGATCATCGTGCATTAGAACGTACGAGAGATTAATGATCGATAACAAGATGCTTCCGTCGAGCTAATTTTTATATGGGGCGAAGAGAAGAGGGGAATGGATAAACGAAAATAATTCATCGATATATTCGTCGACATGTTCGTTACCAGCATCACACGTGTGTGATTCACAAGAGACCGACGTCGCATATCTGCGTCAGCGATAATTTCTCCTAATATGCACATAAACAAGTCTAATAGTATGTTTTTCCATGTTTGCACGCATTATAAACGATATGAGAGATTTTCCGTTACTCATGACCGAGGATCATTTATTTCTAATTTCGACCAAGAAACACCACAATTTATGGCCAAAACGTTCTGATGATAAAGTACCTACGAATGCGGCATATTATAAATGAATGCAAATTAAATCTGCAATCGACTATCACTGTCTTTTATTGTACCGTGTTGTTCGATTTTAATCAAAGATCCTTACACAAATCGTTTACCTTAAGTATGTTTTATTCTGTTACACAACAAGGAAGATATACAGAATGGGTCATGGGGATGATTTCCTAAATGTGTCATGATACAGTGTTAAATTACACCAACGCTATAGAATAGATTCTATCATTGAGAGTTCGATTCAAGAGAGAGAGAAAGAGAGAGAGAGAGAGGGAAAAGAGAGCAGCGTGTCACGACGCGCGTGTTACGGCCGACCGATACGCACTATTTGTTTTACAGTTATGTGCTTGCGGAATTTTGGGTGCGGGCCTTTGGCTGCGACTGGCTTATTCCGGATACGCGACCTTGGTGCCGCAGTACAGCTTCGCATCGGCGGACTCGCTGCTGCTCGCCGCGGGATGCGTCACATTCGTCATCGCTTTCTTCGGATGTTGCGGCGCGTGGTTCCAGTCAAGATGCATGCTGATCACGGTTGGTATACAACGTAGTGCATTGTAAAAACGCGCTCTAGCGTATGGTGCACGTGCCTGCGCGTTGATTATTCCGATCGCCTTGTTTGATTGCTTCTGTTTATTATTAGCGAGTCGCACGCGAATTCTTATCGCGCGCGCTAATTGTGATCGGTGCCTTTGCAGTATTTCAGCCTGGTGATACTCATGTTCCTCGCCGAGTTCATGCTGGGCACCCTGGCGTTCGTGTTCAGGGAGCACCTCGCGCGAAGCCTCAAAGAGGAACTGCTGTACGGCATTGAGAAGCATTACAACATCACCAGGGAGCCGGGAACGTTGCCCGCTGTGTGGGACCATATACACACAGAGGTTCGCATCGGTCCGATTTCATTTTTAATAAGTGAAATTTTACACGGGAAAAAGTCTCGGTTCTCGCAACTGAATAGGGACCAGATGGAAACTTGGTGATGAAAATGATATCTCTGTTACCGCGATTGAGCACATTGGCCGAATAGGAACCTCTTAGACAACAGAACAAAAATCTTTCCGTACCCACGACCGAATTTTCCTCTGGGCCCCGGGCAACGGAAAATTCACCAACGGAGTTGTTTTTCCCATGCGTTAGCCAAATGTCCCCTGCGTTTTTCCAGTTTCACTGCTGTGGCGTGCGCGATTACACGGATTGGTTTCAAATCGAAGCGTGGCCCGAGGAGGACCGGGTGCCGGATTCCTGCTGCATGCAGCGAGAGCGTTACTGCGGTCGCCTGGACCCGGAGGGTCGTAACAAGGAGCTCTGGTACAAGGAGGGCTGCGCCTCTGCCATCCAGATGTGGCTGGTGACCAGACTCCACGTGGTCGGCACGGTGGGCCTGGTCGTTGCGTTTCTCCAGCTGTTCGGCCAAGTGGCCAGCATGATACTCTTCTGCACGGTCAGGCACAAGAGGTCATCACACACATACAAGAGCTACGACACCACCAACACCTAGAATCTCGATCCGGTCTTGGACGAGACCACTGTCTGAGATCGGTAAATCATCCTTCGACTCCCGCCGCGCGGGAACGACCACGACGAAATCTTTTCGGGATTCTCCTCGCGCGATCTGTGTCCTCCCCCCCCCCCCCCCAGNTACGTCGCGGATCGATTTCGATTCCGCGTCAAATCCGCACGCATTAGAGGTAAGGGGCGACGCGATGATGAGAAGACGGTGATTCGTTAGGAGGAATCGTTCATAATTAGCCCAGACATTACCCTGCGAACGCATTTGCGTGCGAAAGAATGGAGGGGGGATGGGGAAGGGGGAACAGAGGGAGAGTCTTCTATATAGGTAAATAAAAACACACAGTGAGCTGCAGTTGACCAAAAAATTTCCGCCGTGTACCAAAAGTACTACGATAGATATTATTTAATCGACGGATCTATAAGCTTTCTTCTCCATAGTCTAGATTGAGCAATATATATGTATGTATGTGTACGTATTTGTTCTCCGATGATTTTTAACCTCCGACGATTGATATCGCGCGACTTCTAACGAACGTTCAACTCTGCCAGTTAATAATTATCGCCGTTCTTCATTGCAACGTTTAATCGTAAGCGATGTATGATCCATGGGTCCTCTTAACCAGTATTTATTAGATAGTCTCGTAAGTAGAGAGAATCTGGCAGCAGAAAAGTTAATTTATATGAGAATAATTTACGTAATCGATGAGGATCAATATTATACGATCGATCATTAAATTGAGTTTTTTTTTTTCTTTTCTAACGGAACAGGCTTATCCTATTTTCATTGTAACGAGGATGATTCTAATCGCTGTGTACTCGATATTCATTCCCGAGAAGCGATCAATTTCTACATTACAACGTCTTGATTAATTGCACGTCATATCGATTTCCAAAGTTTACCATTAGGTGCGAAGTTTACCATTAGGAACAGTTAGACAGAAAGTATGCATGATTATGTGATTTTAGTCGAATACTCAATAGAGATCATAGATTATCGAACTATCTTCAATATCGTAAGCATGAATAGTTTGTTAAGATTCTGTCTCATTGATATATGTAAGTACGTAAATATATAAATTTAATAAATTAAAGCAAACTATTATTCTCTCATGTATTATCTAATGTCGACAGAACACTCGATTGGATATGATAAATTATAATAACGTTGAAGACTGTACACACCGCAGAATCGAAATGTTAAAGCGACAGTGATATATTATGTATTGAATATATTATTATTATTAAAAATAATATATTTATATGATAAAAAAACTGGCTACATTATTTTGTATCGTTGTTGATTTTTTCATTCAATTAAAGACGTTAGTTAATCAACATTGCTGAGTTAACAATATTATATAAAAGTTCTTTCAGGCTATATATTTGTGCAGGAATAAGAAGTATCGAAGAAAAAGTAACGGACGCTCAAATAACCGATTATAAAAAATGTTGATCTCTAATAAGATCATATCGTAAAGACATAATAAATAATTGATTAATTTTTAAGCTTCTTTATAATTCGATTTAATATTTAATAAATTATTATTAATAATATCTCATGTTACTTACTGATCTGCCATTGAAATTGCCAGAAAATTGTACCGCCTAGAAAATAAAGGTCTTTTAGAGCCGCCATGCATGTACTATAACCGTTCACTAAGCACTTAGTAAGCTCTTGGATCTGGTTTGTTACGTATTCTCATATCTGATTAAGATTTAATATACAATCAATCATCAGATTCAGAAGATCACTGAATGAACTCAACGAACGGGTGCAATATTGGATTTAATTGTATACGATGGCTACAATTTACCAGTAAAAATGTTTGCTACTCGTAGCGAAAATTTTGGAACTACATTTTCTTTAGAGTGTAAAAGTCGTTATGAGTTCAATAAAATACGGTTAACGAATTGCCTTGCGGTGTCCTCTAGCGAAAACACCCGCAAAACATGTGGTTTGAATATCAGCTCAGTAAGGTTCGAGTCTTGGCTGAACGATTTCTAATTATAACTTAGACTCATTATATTGAATTACCAAGACATTCCATAAATAATGCCTATTTTTTAAACTAATATTTAGTGTAGAATATTGATATTTACATTTACCTTTACGCTTGATGTTTCTAGCTATACGTTTCTAGCTGTACGTTTTTCACAATTATTGATTGATTCAGAAACAAAATTTAACGCGGAAATAAATCGATGTTAATTTGTAACAATTTATGCGATCGTCGATATATCGTTTATATTTTGTTTATCAGATTGCCTTATTGAATATCAAATAATCCAACAAATATGACGTGTACTAATACATTTTTATATTTGCTGGAAATCTTCTTTTATTGAATTGTATATGGAAGATAGAGACAAGAATACCTTTTGAATTCTATTTCTCTCTCTCAGGTCACTTTTCGAACGCCAGGGTGCGTTCTAGTGTTATTTTTTGTAGTCCAATAATCTTTTATTAGTTTCAAAATCTCCGCTACGATCCGTCGCCGTCTTTAAAAATTGAGCTCGTGAAAAAGTCGAGGATGTAATGCAATTCAACGATAGGTCAGCGGCATCTTTTATCTTCAAGTATGATTCAACAGCGGATTAGCTGAGATTTTAATCTTCAAGTAGCACTCAACGACAGGTAACTTTTTTTATTTGAATAATAGAGAGGTTAAGAGTGAAATTACACGGTGCGTAATAGAATTGCGGAATAGAAAGTGCGTCATAGAAGCAATCAATTAGCAGACAAAATTTGCCTGATAGAAAAGAGCGGAGTAGCGCTGATTGGTTGCTTTTATGACGCACTCTTTATTCTGCAGTTTTATTACGCACCGCGTAATTTCACCCAAAGAGAGCGACAAATGCGAAGGAACTTTATTTTCAAGCGCTATATACTTTATTTAACTTTATTTTCAGATGCTATATATAACGGCATATAAGCGGTCAACTGAGCTTTTTTAATGTTTGATAATACGACCGAATAGCAAATAAGATAGTCTTTTGTCTCTGTTCACCAATGAGAAATTAAAGTTCTTTTGATCCACATGTTTTCTCTTTACATTTTTACTAATTACTTACCAGGATGTGATAAATACTTTTGGTATTGGCAGTTCAAGAGAATATCGAATCAAATGGAAAATCAATTAAAACGGAAAATATCACCTAAGATTTTCTTTATTAGGCTCCAAATTTCCTTAGGCTGCATATAAGTAAAGACATAAGTTTATTTCTTGATATATCAATAGTTATGAAGAAAAATATAAGATCAGATTGTGAACGACAAGTAGATGACGCTTACCACGATTGATAAAATGCTCGATACAAATTTCATAATTGAGCTGAATATTGTCAATATATTTTTTGGAATATTTAGTATCATTGACACAATACTCTTCAAGAAACTTTGCAAGGGGTCATCATTATTGCTAACTTCCCTTTTTATATTTTCACGATTAGCTTCATTTATAGAATCAGCTAGAAGACTTAACGCGTTCTACGAAAAGTCATCGAATCATAAAATGAGTTTTCATTTGCATGGAAGCTTAGAAGAATTGAAAGCACACATATTCGCTTCGCTAACTTGATAGGTTACGTCAAATGGCAAATTTCGCAAACGCGAGGAACATGATGATGCGTTTCACGATGAAAATGATTTTGTCACACAAGTCACTGTTTCTTAGAATTCATAAAAAGAATTGTAACATAAAAGTTACAAAATTCCATCGAATGATGTTACATACACGCTCGAAGCTGTTATCAGCTGCTCTATAATCAGCGAAATAATTGCCGTCGTTTTTTTTTTCAATATTAAACGCAATTTTGGCAGTAATTACGAGGAATTTTGAGGAACTCGTATCGAAGTTTCGCGAAAATAAGAAATGCACACCCACCTCGTTGATATCCTTTCCATCGCGAGCACGTGCTGAAACGGTGCTCGCGAAGAACAGAATCAATAGCAGATGGGAGCGCATCTAGAACTGATTGTCTCGAAGTGATTTCGATTATCTCACTGAATAAAGAATATCGGTGTCCGCGCACCAGTGCTGTCCGGATGCTCACGAAAATCGGACTTGCTTAACGGCCGAATAGCAGAGAAACTTGCGGCCGACAACAACGACAACTAGAATCACAATGTAATATTTTTACAGCGCCGAGCGATATTTATTTGTTTCCTTTATCTATGTTAGGCGGCGGATAGTTAATTATTTTTGTGCTCATCGCGACAATCTGCATATCGTCGCCTGCATGTCTTTCTGCGACGTAAAGAAACACGCAGTTCTGTTCGACCTCGGTACACGCTCAAACTTTCATGTATCGCCGATGAGTCAATGGTAATGTCGACCATGCGTCACTGTGTGCGATAATTATGCGATGATTTGAAAGCGTTATCAGGACTAACGATTATGCAAGCTTTACCTAAGTCCTGACAGTGCTCGATAATTTCTTTTACATGATTATTTTATGAACAAATACGCGCGAATGCGTAATGGAAGATGGACGTCTTTTTTGCTGTTTCACGATATTTACGAATGCGATCTCTGTATCGACTTCGCGATTTCTCCGTCTGTAAAATTGTCCGTTTTGCGTTACTAGGCGATTTTGTTGAGAGCGCGAATAATTCTTCAGGGAAAATACGTGACGGGTTAGAAGAAACGCATGTTCAGAGCACTATTTGTTTATTACAATTCCCGAAATAACTGTCTCGATATACATACGTTGGCATGTAATACATTTTATGTAATACATTGGAGTACAAATGCAAGGAGACATGTCTTTCATTTTTATAATCGTGATAAGGATCATATTTGAATATTTGCAGTAAGATATTTGATAACGATATGTTATGACGCTGGTAGTAGAAGTTATTTAGCCCGGAAAAAGTGATTATCTTATTCGTCTCGGCATCATCTGAGAAATACAAAATAATATCGTTGAATATTTATAATTTAATACCAAAGAATTTATTTCTAACGTTATATAAATATAATTTATTTATAACTTACGTGAGCTTTTTCATCGAAGACAAGGGTAGGAACTGTGCAAGGAAACATTTGATTTGTAAATATTTTAAGTAGTATGTCTTATATATGTAAAAGAGCAATAATTATATTAGATGGTATACAATATTAATTATACGTACCTTTGTAAATATGTTGCAGATTAAATTTATCATCAAATTAAAGAAATATCTTGGTATAATTGTAGTTATATATATCATTTTCTCCATAAGAGCAAACGGTAAAAAGAACAGTTTAGATTTAACTGTGCTGTAAAACTTTATCCAAATTATATAAATTTTGCAATAAATACTTTTTATTGCATTAAATATTTTCTTAATTACTGCGTAAATATTGTAAACTACGTAAACTTTGAAATTATGTATCATAAATAATTTTATAGATGATATTAAACGGGTAATTCGAGATATAAAAAATATAGATTTCGAATTATTATTCTTGTGTCCACATTGTACTTGGTTCTTATTGTTAGTGTTATCAGATTTCGACTCAGAACTGGATTGGGACTCATTAGACTTATTAGACTCAGAACTGGAGTCTGAATTGGAATTAGAATTTATTTCAGAACTAGACTCGTCATTTTTATTGGGTTGTGCAGTGGTCACTTCATCATTATTTCCGGATTGGTTCTCTTCTCTGTTTATTGAATTTGTATCTGTATCGGTATACATATCAGGCTGCACAAGAAGAAAATGCATTTAATTAATAGTTTATTCAATTAAGAATCTCTCGCATTAGGTAAGTATAAATCGAAATGAGGTATGATCCCGTCTTTTGCGTTAAACTTATTCACATTTTTTATCGTCTTAGTATCTTCATTCTTTTTAATAGTATAATAACATGTAGCTTATACGTACTACTTCTTCACGTTCAACTCCTTCATTTCCTTGAAATTCAACATCAAAAGGTTCAGGTTGAAAATCAGTATCATAATAAACGTCACGCTAATAATGAGAGAATGAGAGAATTATTTGTTATAAAATAAGAAATATCAAAATTATTATGCTGTATTGTGTTCGGTAGTACAAACCTTTTCTAGACTATGTACATCATTATTTTTGAACCTCTGTAAATTTATATTTTTGTCAGTGTCAGAATATTATACTCTTATATAATGAAAATAATTATTGTGAAAAAGTTTTGTTGAAAAATTCAATAAATTAATTACGCGTAATGAAATGCTCTTTGTGACAATTTAAAAAACCTCTGAGGAAATTACATATTTATAAAAAATAAAAAATTGCAAAGATTGTTTGAAAATACTTTATATTTTATTTTTGGAAATTATATANATTCTGGAAAAAGATTTATATTATTATGAAAATCTTTGAAAATTTTTTTAATTTCATATATATGGAAAATTAAAAAAGAATATATAATATTTGAAAAATAGAAGTTCTCTCTGAAGTTCTTTGTAAAATTTTATTATTTCATTAAACACGAAAAAATTTAATAAATTCATAAGAGATTCAATCTTTATTTAATTAAAGATGTTTAAAATTTTTTGAGAAATTTAATTTTTAAGAAAGGTATATTATACTAATAATGTGACAAATAAATTATGCGTGCTCATATAATACAAATTTTTTTCAAAATCATCAGATATCCGAACATTTCTGGATGCTTTTAAGATGTTTTTTGAACATTTGTGCTATATGGATAATAAAATCAAAAATATCAAAACTATTATGCGTGATGTATTAGTACTTGACGTGTACATACCAGTAATTTAGATTTCGTACTTATGGCTGCTCTTCCGAAAACACACCCACTAAAGGTCAATAATAAAAATATAACACGTAGCTGCATCGCGTGTTTTATGTCAAGAAAAAGAAAATATCCTGTACAATATAATTCGTCTTTATTTGACGAATTTATTTGACGAACGTCGTTACCTCTTTCTTTTTCTATTACAAATAAAAGTAATTCATCGATGAAACAATCCGGAACAAATATTTTGGCAAACTGCCGCCGTTTGAATAGTTCGCGATTGTAAGTTCCTTATAAAGAAACATTATATCTTATCGTGTTTCGAAAATTATGCTGATGTATTAAGTCATCGTTTCTAAATGCTTAATTGAAGCCTATCTTCTATCGAAACTACTTTGTTCGTTCGTACGTCATACTAGTCATTATATTACAACGTTTCGAATATTCCAAGTAAGATGATTCCAAATGACACATAATAGTTTATTTAATTTATATAAATCGCTAGTTAATTGTATTCTCATAGACATTCCGTGACATGCCTTTCACCGAAATTCTGATTGAATTAATTGATGATTAACTGATCGAAAAACAATTTCTAGCTATGTAATTTGTCATTCAGCAATAATCGACAAATTTTTATCCCAAGCCCCAAGTTGGCAATAAGAGCAGTCGATATTTGATTAACAGCAATTTTAAATAATATATTATAATGAGATAAAATACTCAAGAGAATTTTCTTACTCTATTCAAATAACGAACTGTTTTATTTTCTACGTTGACAATTCTGTCGACTGAATTAATCGCCGATTAGTTTAATTTGAATTTGGAGAAAATCATCCTTAAATTCATTCTTAAGATTCATTATTGATCATAATCCGATGAGCCGTGCTCCCAGTTCATTTAATGTCTCCGTTATTCCACGAGACGTCTGCTTAGCAGCATTGACAGGTAACTATAAAGATGTGCAATTATTCTTTTCATTTTTCTGTAGTAAGATTAATTCAGAAAGAATACATTTTTTAAGTTTTTATTAATATTTGTGCCAGGTCAGTGATAATATTATTTATATTTCATTGTATATACTTACGTCCACTACAGTGTTTAAAAAGTTGCTTAAATTCTCGAAAGCATTGACGATCCCTCTGCTGAATCCGATGAATTTATCGCCTGTATTACCGTATTTCTCCTCTTCCTTGATTCCGTCGACGATCGGCGTAGGATTCAAAAAACTGCCCAACGCTTGTCGAACGTTGTCGGGCTTTCGCCTTTCCAAAATCGCCTGCGCGGTTTCATTTTCTAAACGAACTGTTTCTCGCATGGATCGAAACAAAATGATGGGCGTAGTAGTTTGAATTGATGTCAAAGACCTACGGCTTGGATTAGGCTTGTCAGGCTTTGTAATTATTGAGACGAAATTGCTCAAAACTTCGCTGGATAGTTGCTGTGTAAAAATAGGATGTATATTTTTGTATTAGAATGCGTACAATTTTCTCATTATGAATTATTCAATGGAGATATTAGATAATGCCTGAGAGAAGGCAAAAATGAGAAAAAAATGCAAAAAGAGACAATAACGAATTAATAATTAACAATTTAGGTAGAGAGATATAATTATCTCCGCTTGATTGACAATGACGTTTTGAATTAGTGCTGTGAAATTGATTAATCTTTCCCTGTTGATTTCTGTTGTATCAGCGATGCGTTCTAATAATTTTTACAAAACGGTAATTTTAATGTCGTTTGCTGATAATATTGGCGAATCACGAAGGTATTCTTTAATTAAAATTTTGAAACTGCATAGACGTAGCTGTAAGAAATTTCTCACACGAAATGTTTTCATTAATCTAAATTTCTTTCTATTGCTTTGGACGCGTGTCGACAAAAATATGACAAAAGTTCCAAGGGAGCCGCTTCTTCATAACATTAATATTTTCAAAAAAATTTTATTTTCATCTATTTTCGCGATCCAATCTTATAAATGTAAACCATCTCACCTTTTCTTGCTCCAATGTCGAAGACCAGATATTTTTTGTATCATTTTTTATAATATTGAGGCTGAATCTTGTGGAATCCTTCGCAGGACGAGCTCTTGATAAATCCAACCAACAGCTTAACCATAAAATCATAAAAATCCTTAACATTATTTCTCTTAAAACACGGTATAAAAAGTTTCCAAAATATATGAGCTTTAAAACGAAGAAAAGTTCTCAGCTTCAAGGTACTCTTTTATTTACAGAAATTCGTTAATCAAAATTATTAACCCGAAGTGTGAAAAATATGGCAAACACTCATATGTGAACAAAGATTGTGACTGTTGAACGGCGATCAGCCGACTAACAGATTTCGTTCTCACTGGCAGCGAGCTCACCTTGCATCTTACGACACTGTGTTACTTTCTCTTTCTGTTCTTCCCCATATTGTAAATATCGAGTCTTGAATCGACCGAGACGAAATTAAAATCACTAGAAATATTGGAAGTAAGGGGATCGAGGTATACATTTTAAAATGCAATTTGTCAGAATTGTGCATTTATTAAAATCAATCGTGCAGTTATATTGTTCAGTTTTATTAGCAGAGCATCGAAAAAAAATAATATGGCATATATTTATATTAGAAGAGTAATATATATTTTATATCGAGATGTGGAGGATACATTTAATTATTCCGGGAGTAACAAAAGTGTAACGTTAAATGGCGTCGTCTCAGGCAAATTTAAAGGCAGGTCTGATACGTTGCACATTGCAACCTAGATGGCACGAAAGTTTACTGTTGCGAGGTGACATGTGACACAGCACGTTACGTAAATCTGCCTCATTCATCTGCAAGAAAAAGATATTTCACTATTGCGGAATAAAAATGGAGTGCTACATTTTTTCAAATGTCGTAAGAGCTTATATCCGTTCGTGCGCAAGTAGAATTTATCGAGCTGAATAAAAAAATAAAGATACTCACCTCCAGCAAGAAATGAACGATGACGTCGCAAACGCGAATGAATGTTTGAATAAATTTCAACGTCTCCTTAGTATCGCTACCGCATTTTGCATTACCGAGAATTTCGTCGCATTTGTTTCGACGTTGGCCGTGCTTATTATGATTGCTCGAACCTTTATCACCAATTGTTATCACGCCACCATGTTCTACGAAATTCCCGCTTTGACTCCCACCGTAGTTTCCATGGATGGTTGTGTTCAAATCTTTTACACCGTTGCCTTTTCCGTGACCAACACTTCCTCCTTTTCCATGACTGGTAATACTTCCGTTACCCGCAGAACTACTACCGCTATCGTGTTTCTTGCCATCGTTATTGAATTTTCCGTCGTGATGATGAGATAGTGTAATATTTATTCCTCCGCCTGCGTGACCGTTAATTCCTCCCTTTAGCCCACTATCCTTCTTCGTTGATCCTTGATGTCCCTTGGATACATTATGACTACTCTGATGTCCTCCGTGTGATATCACAACACCTCCATTTTTAATGTGATTTTTTTCATTCCCCTTTCCGTTATGTCCTTGATCATTATTATTAGAGCGCTCACCATTGCCATGGAAGATTGTGACCTTTCCTTTTGCTATATGGGTGCTGTTAGTGTTTTCCTTTTTCTTATCGTGATTATTTTGATGGTTTCCATTGGATTGTCCATTATTGCCGTGCGAGATTATAACTTTTCCTCCTTCTTTCATATGGATGCCTTCCTTCTTTCCACCATTTTGCTGTTTTGTGTGGTGTCCTTTATCGTTAGTACTGGATTGCCCACCGTTACTATGGGAGATTATGATTTTTTTTTCTCCACTTACTCCTACATGGACACCACTATTGCCTTCTTTCTTTCCACTATGATCATTCTGATGTTTTCCATTGTGTTCTTTATCGCTAGTATTGGATTGCCCACCGTTACTATGGGAGATTATGATTTTTTTTTCTCCACTTACTCCTACATGGACGCCACTATTGCCTTCTTTCTTTCCACTATGATCATTCTGATGTTTTCCATTGTGTTCTTTATCGCTAGTATTGGATTGCCCACCGTTACTATGGGAGATTATGATTTTTTTTTCTCCACTTACTCCTACATGGACGCCACTATTGCCTTCTTTCTTTCCACTATGATCATTCTGATGTTTTCCATTGTGTTCTTTATCGCTAGTATTGGATTGCCCACCGTTACTATGGGAGATTATGATTTTTTTTTCTCCACTTACTCCTACATGGACGCCACTATTGCCTTCTTTCTTTCCACTATGATCATTCTGATGTTTTCCATTGTGTTCTTTATCGCTAGTATTGGATTGCCCACCGTTACTATGGGAGATTATGATTTTTTTTTCTCCACTTACTCCTACATGGACGCCACTATTGCCTTCTTTCTTTCCACTATGATCATTCTGATGTTTTCCATTGTGTTCTTTATCGCTAGTATTGGATTGCCCACCGTTACTATGGGAGATTATGATTTTTTTTTCTCCACTTACTCCTACATGGACGCCACTATTGCCTTCTTTCTTTCCACTATGATCATTATGCTGTTTTCCATTGTGTTCTTTATCGCTAGTACTGGATTGCCCACCGTTACTATGGGAGATTATGATTTTTTTTTCTCCACTTACTCCTACATGGACGCCACTATTGCCTTCTTTCTTTCCACTATGATCATTATGCTGTTTTCCATTGTGTTCTTTATCGCTAGTACTGGATTGCCCACCGTTACTATGGGAGATTATGATTTTTTTTTCTCCACTTACTCCTACATGGACGCCACTATTGCCTTCTTTCTTTCCACTATGATTATCATGCTGTTTTCCATTGTGTTCTTTATCGTTAGTATTGGATTGCCCACCGTTGCCATGGGAAATTACGACTTCTTTTATGTGAGTGCTGTCAGCACCTTTTTTCTTTTCATCATAATTATTCTGGTGTTTGTGAGATTTGCTTTCGCTCTCGTATTTGCTGTCGCTACTGCTCGAAGTACTATCGGATTCTCCCCACGGCAAAAGGATAATTCCTCCTATATGCACATCGTCGTTTTCATCGCTACTCGTTCCTTTTTCTTTTATCGAATGTCCTTTGTCGTTATCGCCCCATTCGTTTTCGTCATGAAACGGTACATAGATTATTCCTCCTTCGTCCCAATAACTGTGATCTTCGTGTGATCCAGTGTGGTGTCCACCATTGTGTTTCTTGCCACCTTTATTATTACCGATTGTTTCCGAGATTTCGTGGTTGCTGGATTCCTCCCCCCACCATTTGTAATATTTTTTGGATTTATTGTGTTCATCGGAATGTTCTTTCTTCTCGTGTTTCTTATCGTTATCCGATAATCCAAAATTCAGACCGCCGCCGAGTGACACTCCAATACCGTTATTACCGAATGATAATTTTGGTTGAACCTCGACTCCTCCTGTACCAAAATTGTGTTTGATATAGCGTTCTAACATTTATTGCAAAAGAGAAAACGATTGATACAATTACCACTGAATTTCAGGTCTTTCCCATCGCTTTCACTCGAATCACCCCAAAGTAGATCGAGTAAACCGAAACGTGGATTTACATCGACATTTTTTTTTAATTTTCCGCCTACACCGTTTGGACCGGCAGAAACTGAGGCACTATCTTTGAACGAGGCACCCTTATGTGAAAAAGAAAGCAAATAGTTAAGATTTTCCCCATAGCTGCTCGCATTATTAATTATAACGAAATGAGTCAGAAGTTTATAACTTTATTGCTATGTGTAAATATTTTTTACATTGTGCGCGTAATAATATGATTTATATTAATATCTGAAGTATACATACGCTGGCGATGTCCCTTTTATATTTTGATCGAGCTAACGTCTCGGCTACGAAGACAAGCAATAGACAAATATATATACGCATCTTTCAGCGATTATAATGCGATTTTAATGATCTAACGATAATTCGTAGATCAACAATTTAATAATTTTTAGATTCGATACGCTTCCGGAGAAATCGATGGATAAGTCTTTTCTAAAAACTTGCAGCCGAACTCTACACCCGTTTGAATCTACTTTTGCCATTTTCCGCACTTTTATATTCAAATGCTTTGTTAAAACTATGCAAAAATACCTAAGTGTCAATAGTAAATTTTGAGTAACGTAAATACTTGTACCCATGTCCGCGATCGTTACATTCGTATTCATTGTTTTCACGCAGAAACGTGCGACTTATCTATTTCGATTATACGACTGCACTTCCGTACCTGCCGCGTAACATTGGATCGTATATAAATAATTGGTATGTGGTGTGAATAAGAAAAGCGTCAAGCTCAGTAAATCTTTATTATTTAGTAGAAGCTGTCTTTGTAACAATTGTGTATACTAATTTTCGTTTGAGTAATAGCAACTGTTTTTAAGTGCGATAGTTAGAGTCACATTTTATATTGCAATATTTTACAAAACGTAAATGCAAATTTTTCCTGGTCATTTTAACATGTCTATAATCATTACGATAAAACGTTGACTCATATCGCGATAATGTCTTATCTCGTTGTTAAAACATATAATGCAGTTTAAAACTTTGATAAGCGTGCAATGCAGTTTAAAATAACTTTGATAAATGTAATATACGACATTGAGTTGGCTTTAACACATATATAATATTTCTGCTTATGTGTTTATGATGGTTTTATTTTATATAGCGTTTCATAGTTTTATAATTTATTCCTGGATGGGAGAGACTATAAATATGAAGAAGATATAATATATTTAAGAGCAATAATCGTAAATAATTGTTTAATCAACGTCTAGGAAATCGTACTTTATGTGTGCGAAATTGGAAATCTTGAGGAGAAACAAAAAGATTGCCTTGAAAATTCGCTTTGTTCTGAACTACTGAATTCTTTTCTGTATTCTTTAGTTTTTATGATTTCAAGCAAAAGTAAAGTGTTTTTATTAAGCAGAGAAAAAAATTCTGAATTCGCTGAAGTAATAATGAAAATATAACTATTTTTGCAGATATGAGATATTATTTTATAGCTATCGCAATGTATTTAGCTATCGTATATGTTCTTATAATGTAAATATGTTATTTATAACCAAGTAATTATACACGTAAATATTACGATTTATTTAATAAATCATGCAAATTAAAGGGAGAAAATGAAAACATGACGATTAAATGTATTTTGGTCGTAATTTAATAACGTTCAGCTGTGGATTTATGATAAAATAATACGTCAAGTTGCATAGAATTGTTGCCAGTTTGGATCACTTTAACTTCGAGAAGTATACGTAATTCTGAGAATTTAAAAATAGACAGACATATTTGTGGCCATATATAACTTTGAAACAATGATTATTTTCTTCTTTTTCGGCAGTGCAATAAAATCTTTATAAAACATGTGTGGTAATATTCATGCCACATACATATTATACAGAATGAATAGCGATGGCCATTTGTATCTCGATGTCGAAAGCATTCGAAGATAGTCAACATACTTATTAAAGTGTTCACGACCTTCGAGGCTATTCTAAGAATGTCAGGTTTTAAATAATACTTGAGACGTATTGTGTATATTATTTATTAAGTCTTTTATCGTATATTCCAAACGATTTAACGCCAGTCTGACAGGTAATTAATTATAGATAAATAATATGTAGACGATATTCGTAGAAAAGTAGAAATATACATATATATTATATAAAAAACAAAAATTAATGTCGGGAAATTATTTTATATTAAGCTTCATTAACGTGTTCTCCTTGAATTAATAGGACAAAGAAAAACTATTGCGCACGAAATCACTAGTAATCTAATCACGTATGGGAAATCGTAAAATTGGACGTCGCGCATGTCCGGCATTCGTGAGTAGGTGAGACTGCAAAATAAACGAAAACGGCTGAAATGAAGGACGAAAGTTCGTTAAATATATCTGAGAATTCTCAAAAAGAAAAAAAGATCGATCGATCGATCTTTCAACGGGAGTATTATCCCGTGATTTCATTGTTGATGGTGTTTCCGTACTTTAGCCAAAGTTATTCAGCAGTTGATTAACAGCCGCCAGGGTAGAGATTGGGATCTGCCGAGAAGATTTGGCTTTTTAGCAATTACGTGAATTTTTGCGCAAATTAGCGATATTTACCAAGTATAAGTAGCACTGTCATAAATGATCAAATTTACACAATCATACGAAGGCAAATCTCTTTGCTCACTCACGTTAAAGATGTCGTCGAACAGCGATCCGCTGTAAGTTTTGCTCGCGACGACTATGCCGTCATTTCCATCCGAGTTGACGGCAAATCCACCGCTTATATTGGAAGACGCGCCTTGAGCATCCGCCGGTGCAACGTAGACTGTTTTCCTGGGCGCGGGCCAGAATCTCTTTCTAAAATACCAGCGAGGGTACGCGATTCTTGTAATTGTGCTGGCATTGTTGTCTGAAAGAGGCATAGGGCAACATTCGAGAGCGAGTTCCTCGATTGTGAAAATGAATTCGAAGCAATAGCGAAAATATAGCCACTCGGAATCACAAAAGTGAATGTCTCTCTTTGAGCGGATTATTAAACTGTGAACGTTTTTGTTGTTCGTTGAAGTGAATCTGTTCCTACGATGAAATATATTAGATTCACTCTTTAATTTCGAGTAAAGATATTCGGAATAGAAGCAGATTTGCTCTGTATGGGTTAAAAATCATTTGAGTTCGAGCGAATAGTCCGTCACTTTACTATTTTTTTTCGTAAAATCGCTCACCAACCTGTTGTAGCCACATTGGTGTTAACGTCGGCTTGAGCCGCACCTTGCACGGGAACAAGGAGCGGAGAAGCGGGAACTATGACGTTTTTCTCGACGGACTTCACAACTGTGACAGCTGGTACAACCTTATCCACCGAAAACGATCCGGCCACGTCGAATTGTGCCGCAGGAGGTACGTATGGTATAGCACGTCGTACCTGTTGAAATATAGATTACTTTCGTGATTTTTAATCGAATGGTTAGCATTCGATCTCGTTAATCGCTCTACAATGAGAGAAAAATATCTAAAAAATAAAAAAAGCATTCACTCGGTGAACACCAATAACATATTTGCTTGAATATGAATTCTTCCATATATAAATAGAAGAAACAATTATTTTCATGAAAAGCTACGGTTTAAAAAAACGTATCTTTTTTTTCCTTAAACACAAATTGTTTTTCACTGTAAATATACGTATATTAGTGCAAGCGAACATGTTATTAGTACTCGCCGAGTAAATGTTCTTAACTTTTTCGATACTTTTTCTCTCAGTGTGTATATAACCGACATATTTCTCACCTCGTTGCTTTTCGATTTGGCTTTTCCGGCTGCAGGCGCATCAGCTGGCACCGCGGCAGCTTCGAGCGCCACTTTCTACATTTATGACATACCGAATGTTAAACACCATAGCCTCACGAATGCGTTTGTACGGGAATGATATACATGATTCGATTAAAAGAGTTATGTCAACAGAACATCCGACATGAATTTGTGAAAAAACGTGGTTTATTTAATAACTACATGTATAACTGATTAACGGCAACTTAATGCGATTATAACTATCATCAACACAACATTATTTTCCTGATACTACGACTAGACTACGGAACGTGTGTTAGCGGACTGTCAATGAACATCCTCGCGTATCTCAATTTCTCATTTAGATATTGTATTCGAGACCTAGAAAATCAGAATATTGTATCCCTCGTTCGTAAAGCGGCCCAGCGGCGTAAAGCTACATTGCATTGAACGGAACCTCTTTCTCCTTCCTCGATTTCGACGGTATGATCTGTATGTTCGTGTGGCCCCTCGTTGGCGGCTTCGTTTCACTCTCGTTCGCATCCGCGGTCGATTCTTTCCTTGCCGTCGAGCCACTTGCTTGGGGATACTCGCCAAACGTATCGGTGGGCACGTTGCTCGAAGCCGCATACTCAATACCACCGTCTTTGGCGACACCTCCGCCGAGATACACGCCGGTTCCAAGACCGCCGCCCGGGGTTGCACCTGCGTACATGCCGCCCGAGATCGGGTTCAACGATCGTCCGCTGCCGTCCAATTTCCCACCAATGCCGGCTGCAGCCTCCGGCCTCCCGTTGCCAAGACCGGCGCGAGCGTACAGTCCGCCGCCTGAAATCATGTTCGATTTCGATCTGCCGGTTGCACACCGGAAAAGAATCCGCAACTAATTAGGGGACTGGGATGAAAACTCGGTAACGATAAATGATATCTCTGTTACCGTGACCGGGAATATTCGTGAGAACATTCAGCCACATCGAAACTCGATGGGGCAACTGAGAACGATTGGCCGAGTAAAAACGTTCTATAGAAATTACTCTGCTCCCACAATTGAGTTTTCGTCTGGTTCCCGGGCAATGAAAAATTTCAGATATACCGATAGAATTGTTCTTTTCGTGCATCTTCCTTTCGACACTTTGGCGGACATGCATTGTTCTGAAGAAAAATCTCCTCCAAATTTTTTTTCCCGCTTATTACTACTGCTATTTTTGCAAAAAGGGTATAGTTGTGGCGAAAAATAACTAGAATTTCTGTCACGATCAGTATAATAACGAAATCCGAATATCGAGACAAATCTATCAAAATACAATTTTGCCGAAATAATTCTACTTTTTCTTTGTCTTTGTTAATACTAACCGACGGAGGCATCTTCTCCGCTCAGTTGACCACCTAATCCAGCACCTGCGTGTGCGCCCCACGGGGTACCCACGCTTGCGTGAAGTCCTCCGCCTGTTCCAGCGCCTCGCAGGAGACCGCCGAGGCCAGCTTCGGCGTGGTATCCAGCGAAGTTCAATCGGATGCCTTTGTTAGTGAACTGTAGAAACGGCAGCTGCGAAGAGAAACAATCAATGAAAATTGAGCCCATCCATTACGATAGGCGTAATACCTCGGCAAAATTAGCATTCGAGAGAAATTACACGTTATATCGCGTAAATGGCAATTTCTAGCAAAATCCCACGTGACCCGTAGATGTAATTTTTCTTCTCTTTTTTGTTACAGGTTTCGTCTCTAAATTGCAGGTGATAATGCAATTCCAATAATGTTCCGGTCTACTCCCCGCTGCAAGACATGAGTGCGGACTTTTCTCTCAAAGTGTGCACGTGAGTTTCATCAAACACTCGAGCAAATACAGCGTTCGAGCGTTCCGGGTAATTTAAAAACTAGTCACTATGACGTTGCATGATACAACAATTCCCCTTAGATATTTTTATGTTAGATATTGTAAAAATAGACCTTTAAATGAAAAAACATGAAAGGCGAGCGCTTACGTCGCAAAATTGCGAAGGTGATAACATTGAAGTTTACGTAATTCGTATTAACTGCAATTACTTTTAATACTATAGAGATTATTTCAAGGAGATCGAGATATGTTAATGATCTCAGATAACAAATGCAGTAGCTACAATTGAGCAACATAAGTTCGCATACGTGTGTAGTGTGTGTAGTAGACAACGTCGTTAGACGGAAACTTTACGTCACCGATACGTTGAAAATTTATTATAAAAGTCGCAATTGCACTCGGACACTTCACTTCCTTCACTACTTTATTACATATTTTTCTCATACAAATTCTTTATAATTTTATGTTTTCATGTTTCCTATTAGTGCAAGAATATATAGTCAGAAGAGCATGTCTTGTCAAAGAAAGAGAGAAGCAAGGATAATTTTTTCATAATAGTAAAATATTTGATAAAATCCTAGTAAAATATATGTATAATTACTCCTTTAACAGTTAGTTTCTGTCAATCTAGACAGTAATATAATATAGTATAAAATTAATAAGTAATATAATATAAGAGAGTGCGAGCGTGGCATGGTAGGCAGTGCACTAGTCTATCATGCTTAGGAGTCCCGGGTTCAATCCCCGGCAGAATCAGAAACATTTTATTATACGCTCGTCGCTCCTCTTCGGTGGTCTGGTAAAACCACCAAGAGTATTCTCATGCCACGAAAACTTCTCTCCAACTGTCGTTCGGAACCAGTGTAAAACTGCAGATCCCATATGCATGTGTACAATTTGTGTGCGCATCACATGCATATGTAAAAATAGAAAAGTTAGGCCCAGGTCTCAAAAACGAGGTTGTAGTGCCGAAGAAGAAGAAGAAGAATATAATATAAGTACAGTAATATAAGTATAAATATAAATAGTAATATAGTAACAGTACACATGAGAAATAATAAATGATAGAACGTCGATATGTTTTTAATTACAAAAAATTATAGTAATTTTTATTATAAAATTTTCTCCGTGTCTTGTCTATTACCTCTCGAATTGTTGCATTTAACGCCTGTTCTTTTTAATTGAACTGGCTTGCATTAGTCAAGAAATTTACACACAATAGAACGTGAGAACCTCCGTACGCCTCGTATGTTTCACTGTGTAACTACTGCAGCCAATTCAGTTGAAAAGAACAGATGATAAAGTTCAACAAATAAAAAAGCGAGGTTATGGCATGACATATATTATGCGGTAATTTCACAACGTAGATAAGTTCAATTTTGTGCTACGTTCTAATGCGTTCTTCCGCGATCCTTTCTCCCGCCACAGAAGTCACAGTAGGTGATTATCTAACCGGCATAAGCTGTAACTTTTCCTCGCGTGTTTTTCCTCTCGGAGCAGCTGACCAATTAGAATCAGCCTTTCTGGAACGCGCGATATAGAATATTCTCGTGTTTTTATTTTTTAATAAAATTCATAGTTACTCATGATGTACTAGTCTTAGTCACGTTAAATATGCGGAATACGATTATGTTCGCAATTATAATGCCAGCTTATGATCAAACATGTCCATTAAATGACGACGCAATATTGATTACTTGCGTCAATGAGGCTTGATACAAATTATATCGTAAGAATATTACTGTTATATTATATAATGCACTTCAATAACTCATAAAAATATTTATACTTATGAGTACTTATATTTATATTAAATATTGATTTGTTCGTCATTTCAGTAGCCTATCTAAAAAATGACTCGCCCAATAATAACCAACGTTGTTAGCTATATTAACAAGTGAATTTGAATGACAAAATCCTCATATTTAGCAAATATATTAACTTGGCCTTCAGTTGATTTCAGCAGCCTTCGCCACTTGCTATTTCATCATACATTTTACCGTTATCTGCTCGCAACGTATACACGCGTATTTCGCGTAATTCACTGTTAGGGATACGAGTGAAATAAGTGAGATGTTCAGCGAGAAGCGATTTCTCGTTCCGTCATCCGCGCACAAGTCCAAAACGTATAATAATACGTTGTTCAGTTTATTCCGTAACAACGGTATAGTATCTCGGCGATGTTAATATGCGGTAGACCACGGTAAATTTATGTATTTTTGGAAAACAACGCAGCTGTCTATACAAATAATAGCATTTATTCGATTGTATAATAAATAATTTTGAGGTTTTTGGATAAAATAAAGCGATTTTGTATTTTTATGTCGTTATAATTTTATGAAACAACGTAGAATGACAGAAGCAATCGCAAATCGAAACGGCGCATACATTTAAAATTGTAACGACATAAAAATACAAAAAATAAGATAAAATACGAACGTTTCATTTTACTTGAAAAGTCCAAAATCATTTATTACACAATCCAATATATTAAACTTGTGTTAAAATATAGTACAATTAAAGTACAATTATAGTAAATATTATATAAATAAGATTGCAATTGTAAAAGAAAAGTCTTTCTTTCTCACAATCTTTCTTGCTCTCTTAATTTTTTACTTTACAAATAATTCAATGTTTTTGTTAGGGATTAAGAATACTTGAAAAAATTTGCATAGCAGTAATAAGAACAAAATAATGCATATAAATGTTTCACTTACCGAATCGGACTTCTCCTGAGATGTCGCGTCATCGTTTTGCGCCATCCCGTTAGCAAGAGCTACGCAAATAATAAACAGATAGTTAGCTACCGCGCGAAACGACATCTTCGCGTTTACTGACAGAGGACCGAGACTGGTAGGCAAGTAAGTTGTGATTTCTTAGGCTGACCGATGGGCATCTCTTACTCACCTGTTGGTAGGAGGGGTAAGGCTCGACGAGATACGTTCGCCGACTACCTGATTCGCCTGCTTGGACTGTAATGTGAAAACAGACCAGGTCAGTACGGAGTCCAGCTGCATTATTCTGTGGAAATTTCAAATGACTAATATTTCAACGAGCTTCTTTTGCGTGAATGAATTATCGATAAAATTAATTATGCAACGATTTGGCGAAGAAATAGTTCATATTTGGTGTGAAACAATGTGTCACTTGATTTCTTGGAATAAACAATATTGACGTCGCGGCACTGCCATGTGGTTCGATTTTACGCGAAAATAATTTCTTTTCGATTTAAAAGTCGTTCACATTGTTATTTGTATCCAACAGTGTTTGACGAAGAGGGGAAAAAAGTTAAATTTATTGCAGCAATAAAAATTCCTCCGAAGTCGCTGTCTGTAAAATCGATGCACGTTGATCCAGCAACACAATAATAACGTCGATCGAACGATACGCTAACGTGACGATTACACGATTTGCAGAAGACTGACGGATAGATCATCGAGCGGAATTATATAAGGTACTACACTATGATGTCATGACGAAACTGGATCAATTTATTGGTACGTCCAGTTTGATTATTCAATCGAGTATTAGTATCAGTTGACTATCCGAAAGTATATCATTTATTGTTTCACATTTCTCATCGAACTTTTTCTAAATCATGACAGTACATTTCGTTTCGACAATACATCTTTTACATATAATGCATATAACATACACATAACATATAACATTAATCTAAAAATATCTTTTTTTCAAGTAATTTTTAAAGTACGTTACAATAATATGTAATAAGTGATTATTATGTAAATCATTGTATTTAACTTTATACTTTGTTGTTGTCACAAAGATAGATTTATGTCTGTGCAAGCTGGTCAATATTGTATTTCGATAAATTAAAAATTTATATATACGAAAAATATATGAGAATCAAATATATTTAAGAATAAAGTGATTGTAGAATGAGATTTGTAACACATGTTGTGGGAATTTAAATACGTGCAGCGCACAAGTTTCTTGCATTACAATGCGAATATAGAGCTAAAGCTCAAAGATCAAGGTTTGGCTTCATCGACTGTACAGAGCGTTCCAGATTTAAAAAACTATTCTACCTATGATTTTTTAAATCAAATTATCTATGGCTAATTTATTTATGAACAATCCTGAATTCAGTTGTTTTGACAAAAAACGCGTCGTGAGTTTTCATTTTCCAAGAGAGAATATTTTTTCAATCTTTCATCAAATATATATTAAATGTATAATATATAATGTAATATGTAGTAAATGTAGAATAAAATTTTACAAGTTTTCATATTTTTAAAGCTTATATATTTATCATGAACATTGTTTAACATTTTTTATAAAATTATTGTAGCTGATTATGTTTTAGATTTTTTATTACGAATAGTCGCAGATAAATAGTATTCCGCTCGATTTAAGACAGTCTGTCAGGAAGTAGTCTACGTTGGTGAAGTCACACTTTGACCTTTATAAGTTGTTGTATTTGCATGAAGACTTCCGACAAAAAACTATTTTCTTGGCGACCACAGTGAATTAATTTTCAGTCGCATTAGATTGCATATAAACTAAATACATTAATCAAAGTCATCTACACTTACTTGCGTTTATCTTAATTGCGCCAAGATTTTCACAACTGTGATTCTTAAGATTCTTAATAATTTTCTTACGACTTTTTTTCTGCGATGTCTACTTTAACACGTTAACTGCCACGCACATTTCGGAGGAAATCTCCGTCAGGCCAAATCCATTAAAATTTTTTGATAAGAAATATTTAAGTATATTAATTATACGATCCTGAAATTATTTATTAAACTATGTAATTTTTTTTAGTTTTATATCGTACTTTATACTGTCAGTCGCCGGTGACTGACGCGGCCCGAACGGAAAGTTCAGTATCAGTCACTGGTGATTGACGTGGCAATTAACGTGTTAAGATAGTCATTCGATTGTGAAACCGCGTAAATTGGTCTTATATATGACATCATAAATTATCAATTGAATACTTCTATAACATTCCTGGAATATCTACTGAACATTTGTGCTATCTCAAAAGTAGTAATAGGAAGTGTAAATAGTAATACTAAAAACAGATTAAAGTTATAAGGATATTCTTGAACCTAGATTTATCAAAGAGAAAACATAAAAAAAATATTTAAAGAGTATTTAGCAGAGAGAAGTGGAATATCTTAAAGATGTGTGCAGTAGTTTTATTAGAAGTCTGAATCTCTGAAGTATATAGAATACAGAATCTAAGTATAATTACTACAATAAAATAATCATTACAAAATAGGGATGATATATATAAACAAGTTATATACGACAAAATGTTCTAAATTTTCACGCATCGCATAAAATACCTTTAATAAATTTTCCATAAATTTGGACATGCAGCCGAAAAAGTTGATTATTTTCAGCTGATGATTTAGCTGTTAACAAAGCCAAACAAAGGTAAACAAATTTATATTCATCAAATTCGTAAAATTTAAAATCACATTGCGAATATAAATGTTGATTTCGAATATACGTAGTTCAAATTTGATTCCAAGATCGAATTGAACTACATGACTGACTTAATACATCGTGACATCTGGATTAAAACTCAAACAATAGATTTGAATAAATCGTGCGATTAAACTTACATGTAGTAGTGCTGGATATCTAACTATTTGAATATTTTAGACTCCTTTCTCTTAAATTACTCTATATTTATTAATTTATATGAAAGTAACTGATGTCAAAATACAAACTCCATCTTAAGATAGGTGAAATCGCGTTGGCATTCTGATATTACTGGTGCAAGTTATTTACGACATATATAACTCCGAAAGAGAGAGAATGTTTAAAAGTCCATAGCAACAAAGCTTCAGTAACAACAAAGCTTCAGTTTACTGTCGACAGTTTATTATGCAATTATTTGATTACAATCCATCGAATTTTAACACAAGTCAATATTTGGACTATTGTACCACAAGCGAAATTTTACTGATTAATGAACACTTTTACTCCGAATGTTGAATTTATATTGCCAAAGGTTATCGCCCAGAGTCAGCTTTACTTTCCTGCTCTTATATCATTGTGTGCATCCAATACTACAATCGCTCACTGAGCGCATATACACACAATATACAAAATAATATTTATTGCTGAGGGATAAAATATAATTACATATAAATTGGGAAATTCCACTAAAAAGTTTTCTCATATTCATCCGTAGTTTTTAAACTGATTTTACCCTTCCTTACAAGGATATTATTCTTTTGATGATATGGGAAAGCATAGATGCTTCACTACATCCAGTGGAATTGGAGCATCAACGCCTAGTTTCTTCCGTTAAGTGTTTCATAAAAGATTTCCAATATTCATAGTAATTTATAGTAATGAAAGAAGCGAAATGTCCAAATAAGATTGTATAGTAATTCTTATCATCAATCTTCGATACGTTGGAGACATAAAATTTCTAGTGTAATGAAACCGCCTGTGTAATTAATAATTACGCTGTTCGGATATAACCATCGCATGTTATGTAATCATTATATTGTTATAGAGAATAATATTTATTGCGTCAGAAATAAATTCAATATAAATTGGAATATATATGTTTATATTGCTTTATTACTTTGTAATGTAAAAGTATTCTAGATTACATTCTTCGAATTATGAGCTATTGTCTTCTATAACTATTACTATTTGGAATACAATTTTTGAACTGTCTAAAGAATATTAAAGTATCGATATTCACGACTCGATCTTATATCTAAGATGGCATAAAGTTCATTTTAAAACTCTGCCTATAAAATGGTCCATAGGGTATTTAAAAAAAAATTTAAGAAAATTTTATAAATAGAAGAGAAGATGGCTATTTATTATTACCTTTGTAGATATTATCATTCTTCTTAATATCTTCTCTTAATATCCCTCTTAATATATTAGGTGGAGAATTCTAATAATTATTTATGGAATCATTTGTTTAGTAACACAACTATTTTATTCACAATTTTTTAAGTCTATTTTAATAAGGAGCCACGTTCCTGTTTCTCTTCAACTCATTATGTAATGTCGCCACATTTTTATAAATAACATCCTAAGTAATAAATATTCTATAACTTTGAGAATTGATTTAACAACACTTTGATCAATGTAATCCTTAAATTTTCAATTTAAAATATCTATTATTGTAAAGTTATTATGTAAAATATAAATGAAGAGCCCATAATACCTTTTCCTCTAAATATAAAATTGGACTATGAATATCGTACTAGAATGTTTAAGAGATGTCATTGAGACGTCTTTTAGACATGTTACGCATTGTTTTTGAAGATTTTCGATCCTCGTTTGTAATCTTTATAGGTATACAATCCATTTTCCCAATATCGACAACCGACTATGTTCTTGTAGAAGATGGTTTTAGTTCTTGTGCCCAGGATATGTTTTTCCGAACTCTCCTAAGCTTTCCCTGATTTGACCTAGAATTCCTTCCGCCATCTGTAAATTATTTTAACAGTTATAGAAAATGATAAAATATTTTTGTAAATTTTAGCAATGCATAGGTATACGTAACCCCAACGCCAATTTGTGCCGCGTGCGCTTTTCTTCGTTTCGTATCTTCTTCTTCTTCTCCAATCGGAATCTAGAAGATAAACGTATTTTTATCAATTGCATCGCACTGAAGATCAAAAGGTAAAAAATGTTCGCTAAGTACATATAAATCCACAAGGAATATTCATTAATATTACTACAAGATAAGCGGCTTAAAGAAATGCTTTTTGAACCTAAATTCATTAAAAAAAGTATATCAAAAAATATTTAAAAAATATTTATCGAAAAGAGAGACAAGGAAAGTTTCAGTAATTTGCGTGATATGCAGTTTTGCTAGAAGCGTAGAACCTGAAAAAAAAACAGCAAAAAGTAGGAAATCAGGCCGTAATTATGCAACGAGAAAAATAGACGACAGAGGCCTTGTAAGATGAGAGGAAATTACGCGTAAAGAACGACTTACATTTAATATAAAATCCTAGAGTTATTCTAGATTTTTCTTACATTTATCATCAACTTGGACATACAGAGGAGAATAATTCACAACTTATGAAAATGTCGATTAAGTAATTTTCAAATAGATAATGAGTAGCTTTCGTTTATTCCCTCTACATATACAATATATTTTTTAATGCTAAAATTACCAAAACGGTCAAAATGATTGGTCTATAACTTATAAAAATTCACATTTATAACTCATTTTATATTAACATTTTATATTTTTAATTGTTCAAAGAAAAATAGAAAACACTAAATAAGTATTTTTTTTCCTTTCATTATATATCCGTTCCATTATGTTAAAAAAAAAACATATCATTTAGATCGCTTTTATTATTTAAATTGCTTAGAGTTAACTTCGAACTATTCTAATAACTTTCAAGATCTTAAAATCCGAATATATACACATAAAATTTTAGATACAATTTTAAAATTGGAATTATTTAGATTTATAATTAATTAAAAAACTATGAAACACTGGTTTAGTTCCTTTTTAAAGTATATCATATTCATTAATTTACGTGTAAGCTACTTACGGCATATATGGCTCCGATAAGGAGAATGATCAAAAGCCCGTAACACCAAAGTTTCATTTTGATGTTGTCTTGAATAGATTCACTTGGTTAAGTTTCGACGAATGCAAGTTGACGTAGAATTAAATCCTAGAATCGTTTCGCTGCATTTATATAGACGTCTCGTTATGTCATTAATCCGGTTTAATATTCCAATGACTAATCACGATGTGTTTAACTTGACTCTGCCAGGTATTCTCAGCCGATATCATCTTTATGTAACTTCGCTGTCGCCATATCACTGATGCTTAATGCAGTTGTTTAACATTTATTTACTTTTATATATTATCTTATTATACTCTTCGTGTTTTGTGCACTGATACATAATAACCGGCAAATCTACACGTATCTTGTAAGTGAAAAGAAGTTTTAATTGAACACATCAAATTTCGTCTAGGCTGCACATAATTATTACTGTTTTTCCATTATTGCAATTCATACGCTAATTATGTACGGCAATTGTTAACTTTGTGTCGTGATCAAAAAGATGTTACATTTAATACATGACATACGATACAACTAACATACTATACAATACAATACATAAGAGAAGTGAAGAAAAAGAACAACTAGAGATATCTAATTTTATGTGCTACGGGAAAATATGCAGCTTTGGGCGTGGGTAGTTAGTTTGCAGAAACATCCGGCGAATTCTAGATTTAACGGGCTAAATTGGGTAATAATATAAAGATATAAAAATAAAGATCCATAATTATTTCAACTTTGGCTAGTCGGTTCTGATCAATTATAGAACCGGTTTCTATTTTTTGTAACAAAAATGTCATGACACACTAGTGTAGTTCATATTACAAACTATTACGTAATTTGGTATATTGAGAAACTATAATAGCAATAATATTATAATTTACTCTTATTATATTCTTTTAAAAATATTAATAATACGAATTTTTATTGAAAAAACAATGAAAATATGAGCAATCGGATAATAAATAGTTTAACAAGCGAAACATATAGTAAAATAATACTTAAGATTTAGTCAAGATGATCTCACGCAGTGAGCAAAAACTACGTAATATGCAACATCCGTGACCAACTGTATTATAATTGCGTTGTACATGATAATATTTCTTTTTATAGTTATGATATCAAACGATTTATATGGTTTCTTTTTATAGTTATGATATCAAACGATTTATATGGTTTCTTTTTATAGTCATGATATCAAACGATTTATATGGAAAATCCAACATGAGTCATTGATAATCAACAAACTTTTTGAAGAAGATAGGTTGCGCCGAAGATTGCGTTCTGAGGTGACATTGCCATTTCTTCTTGCATGTTTTGATGAGCAACAAATTCGACGCCACATGTTTTTCGAAAGTACATTATTTGACATCACGAACATTTGAGCAAAATGTTTGAAGTAGACCTTGTTCGGACCGTCTGTCTAAAGTCTATAACGATTGCATATTGTTATTTTGAAAAACCACGTAATTGGAAAATGTTTTCATACTATCTGAGACAAGAAAATAATACATAATTACGATATAATTATCTTTCCGATTGCGGTACTTTATTTATATTATGAAGCAAGGATGAGAATGATGATACCAGAAAATCACGATTAAAATAGAGAGACTATTAAATATAGCTTGATATCTGGTTACCCTCTCCCTTCTTTCTTCCTTTGCTTTTTCTGCTAAACGGTTGCAATGCCAAAATCGGGACGATAGCAATTTATTAATACATAAATAGAATCAACTATCTTATGAAGAACTAGGATGTTAGCAATATATGAAGCCAATGGCGTCTTGATGTTTGTAAAGTTGCACTTATATGAAGATTTTTATCAAACCATTGTTTCTTTCGCGGCAATAGCCAATTAATTTTAAATTACATTACAGCGTATACACTAAATATACATTATGAGTATGTTGTTAAAATTTACTTACCTTTGCTATGATGATTCAAAGATTTTTACAATTTGGTAACTGCTTAAAAACTATTATTTGATTATTGAACAGCGTAGGTGTAAATTTTATATTATAAATCTGACATTACACATAAATTGTCAGAGAAATGATTATGTCATTTCGATAATTGCATCACTTCAATTCTAATTAATTTCTATCTCTCTCTATTTTTCTTTCTATTATACACACACAAATAAACATAAGGTATTTTATGAAAAATATATGTACGTATATTTTTTTAGTGAGGACGAGTACAGAATATAATGTCCGTTGGACGACGTCGAAACGACAAAAATTTGTCATATAAAATAAAAATTACACCTAGCACTACATATTTTCATACATATTTACATTATTATTACACAAATGTCACTTTTCCACTTCTTGGCGCAATTTTGTTTTCTAACGGCGGATCTCCGCGCTCCGGCTTACTTTTAATCTTGGCGATTTTGTTGTAAAGATTTACGTCATTGCTCGAGTATATGGGTGTTTTCTCCTTCTTCTCTTTGGGAGCTACTTTGTTCTCAATCTTGATGGTGCTGCTAGAAGGTCGTGTACCAAAGAAACTACCGACGCCGGCGGTTATACCGTGCCAGGAAAAAGATGTGTCTTCGTTGACGTCTTCGTAGACTTCGTAGGTATTCTGCGGTCGATTACCCGTCAGTCCAATATTATCTTTGACAAATGTTAAAAATTCTTTGTTAACAGAATTAAGATAAAATCAACATGCAAAATAGATACTTTTATTATATTATATAGATATTTAAATTACTTTAAGATATTTAGATATTATATCTACTTATATATCTAAATATAAATAGATTATTTATATTTAGATATTTTTAAATATTGACTCACTATGATTATCAAGAATTTCATTACCATGAGAACCATGAAAGCCGTGACCTTTGCGATGTCTGTGGCCGCCTTGATGTATACCACCTAATTCAGGATGGTGTCCCAAAAATCCACTACCACTAAGAAGCCCGTGATGTCCAACCAGAAGATCGCTCAACGCGTCAAGTCCGAATGGATCTTTATGCCTGACAACTCTCTTCAATTGTTGCTGCTGCAATCGTTGATTCTGGAATTCCTCCTTTCGCTTCCACTTCTGCTCTTTTCTGGCCAGTAATCGATCTCTTCGCTCCTGACGATTCCTTTGGATATCCTCCGCATTTTGTCGCCTTTGCTCTGCTGTAGATTTCACGAGAGTGCCGACAGCTTCTAGAGTCGAGACGGGGATCTATAAGTAATTGTCTGGATTATAGAAAATGACAGAGTACACCTCACAGTAAATTTTAACGATTCGCGTATACGTGACCTTAAAAACAGAGTCTATCATATGCGTGTTCTCCGGCGAGAAAGCTTGGGCGACAGCGGCGGTCTGCTTGATCGCTGTGATCGGAATCTGCGAAGTAAATAATTTTTTTTCTTCACGGAAGAAAATTTTGTTGGTGTGATTGAATTTTTCATTGTCTGAAAACCAGACGAAAATTCGATTTTATACACAGAATAATATTGCAAGTAGGTGTTAATCGTTTCGAGTATATTCATAAGTTTATATATCCGCAAATACATCATAAGTTCGCATAAGTATCAAATTTCACTTTCGTCTGGTCTTTATTCAGATACAGGAAATGAAATCTTCTCTCCGCGTTGTAATGTCAATACATCAAAAATCGCTCTGTCGGACGGAAAAAAGAGGAACTTTATCACGATTCGGAAAATACGCACTTTAAAAATGTTGTCTATCACTTGACCGTTTGGTGGTGAGATTTGGCGTCGCTCTCTGCTTTTAGAAACATCCTGAAATACATGCCAGAGGTTAATATCTCTTCTCTTTTTTTTTTTAGCATTTTCTTACGTATAGTCAAGAGTAATAATCGCGCATGGGCTGCCCAGAAATTTCTCCCCCGAAACAGATACTATAAATAAGTGACCCACGCTACAACCTGCCATTGGCAATAGCATCCAGGCACAGGGCCCACGTAGGTCCATATGCGCAAGAATGCGTCATCGTAAATCCTCCAATACCTGGTCTTTATTGCAACTTTCACTTCTCGCGAATTAAAAAAAAAACCAATAATTTCCGCCGATAAAGGTGAATTCTCCAGAAAGGTGAATTCGCGTTCGCGCTATCGTTGCGCAATCGATCAAAGTACGAGGCTTGAATCTACCAATCTTATCCAGAGGATCTATCAAATTTACTTAGAGAATTTTCCGAAGCACAGATAAATTTTTAAAAACGGTTAAATTTTTAAGCACGGCTTTGTCTTCGAAACTTCATCGTGATATGTAGATTAGGAATCAAACGAGAGTTTAAGTAAATTGTGCGATAAAATTGTTCGAAATGGAAACATTTCAGCTTTGAGCTCGAACGGTTCGAATGGGATCGAGAGTTGACCTTGATTCGAAACAATTGAAACACAATGCTCGAAGATTCGATTATTTGATAGCGAGTTTGATCACCTGCACTACACCGAATCAAAGGATTTCAAAGTGCTTATATGCTTTCTTATTTAAATAACTATTTCATGTATAGTAGCCTGCAGCGTGCACCAATTCGGTATAGTGTGGGTAATCAAATTCGCTATGAATAACATGGATAATTAATGAAGGAAAAGTGTGTTGCAAATTCTCCCCAGCGAATATTAATTAATTAGTAATATTACGTCAATGTTATAACTTTTCACACAATGTAACCTGTTACATACAACATACGTTACATAACACTTGCATCGTTAAACGTAGAATTCCGGGAAATTGTTCAGTTCGTAAATCCCGTAGCAGCTAACGTGTTAAATCATAGTATATCCATTAATTTGCGTGTAAATAACTTACTCCGTATGTGTCTCCGAGAAGGAGGAAACTCAGAAAACCGTAGCACCAAAACATCCTCTCGACACTTTGCAGAGCGGACCGCTCGGCTATCGTCCTGCGAGTTTCAATACAAGCCAACGTACGATTGGATCACGGATCCGCTTTGCCGATCTATAAGGGTTACCGTGAGATCCCACGCTGACCAATCCGGCTTAAGGATCTCGTGGATCCTTACGCCGGCCTGTCCGAACGAAGAAGGTGCTTTCTACTTATCGTAATCGGGCCATGCGCAATCTCCGGCTCCTCCTCTTCTCCTCTTTCACCAGCTGATCATTCGACGCGTTTTCTTTATCTTTCGTTCATGAAGCTTTGACGACGTGGGTCGAGAGTCCGAACACTTGCATAACTTGATATATTGTAGAGAACGCTCGCCCATGATGTAACCCATGATGTAAAACCGGGTCTTTTAGGCCGAATTTCGGCGTAGCTCGTGTTATCTCATCGTCAGTTGTGATTTCGAAAATCGATCGTTTCGAAAAATATGAAGAACGAGAAGTGCCGAATCAAAAGTGGGAGACGACGTGCAATTTGTTGTTAAATGTTACTTTCTCGACTTGGTGAGATCAATATTAGATTCTGGACAATCCATTTCGGTTTGGACAGAAATACAGTAGAAAGACATGTGTCTATTATTTATATATATGTATTACTTATATTTAATTTATATATTTACATAGAAGCATGTGTACATGTATACTTATGTGTGATAAAAAAATAGTCATTTTCTTTTTTCATGTACCCTCACTTTTACCATCCGCACCAATTTGATTATTGCATATATATTTTTGTACTAGCAACGATATAGATTATATTTTTCAAATGTACTAAGATCGGGCGACGGTGAACTTATGACACGTTGATTTTTTTTTTGCAACACGTTACTGACGTTTCAACTTTTAGTATTGAGGTATTGTAATATTCATAATCGCTAGTTACATTGACAATCAATGAATCTGCGGTTATTCTCCAGTCTTTGATTATTTCTACCACGAATCCACAACAAATTCTAAATTTTCTAAGTAACAAAATTTTGTTAAAATAATGTTTCTTTAAACTTATAAAATGTCTCTCTATTTTTGTCAAATTTTATTTTATGTAGTACAAAGTTTACAAAAATTTAATTCAAAAAACAGCAACAAGAAATAATGAAATCAACCGTACGTTACAATTTTATATTTTGTTTTATTTTTTTATTACAAAACACGCCACTTAAAAAAGGGTCTAAAAATTTTCATTATTTTATCCTCCCTCTTTCCATTTCTTTATAATTTTTGCACGTTGATGAACACTTCACTAAAGTAATATTAACATTTTTTTTTCATTTTTAACACGCCAGGTTGCAAAGATTCGCCATCACTGTACTAATATATTCAGACACACATGCAGTTATAATCTTTGGCTAAATTATGGAACTGTTCATCGTGCATGTGTCTCTTTATATTATATACAGAGAGTTTATAGTTTTTCTGCTTGAATTCTAATTCTTCTCAGTTATATATATTTAACTCTTTCACACACATTACTTTTAAAAGGCGTCCGGATTATCTTGTAGGAAACCGCCTACCTGATTCCCAAGATTTTTTTGAAATTCTTTCACAGATACATCCGATTGCTGAAAGAACATACGATTTATCGTGATCGTAAAATATATGCGTATGTTGAATGATGAATAAAGTCATCAAAATGTAGATCAATAAAAGCTCGGGTGTAAAAAAAGACTCACATTCAAGGCGTCCTGCCATTCGATATTGAAAAGCCTCACTAGACCACGCAGATTTCTCATAATTAGACTTTGTACACCGTTCCGTGTAAATTTAAAAGGCTTCGGTGTAGTTGTTGTTCTTGCTGTTGTCGTCGTTGCCGTGGTTGTTACGTTTACATCTGCCAGATTGCTAAACATGTTAGTCTGGTCCTCCGACGGCGTGGTGGGTTTAGCATCGGGCATCGTCAATAAATTACTTCTATTAGGCAGTTGCGTAGTCGTGTCTGGCTCGAAATTCTCTTCGATAATGTTGTTAATTTGTTGAATTGCCGATCGTGTGTCGTTGAATGTCTGAAATAGAGCGAAAGGTCAATCGAATTCAATAAATTCCAGCATCGCCTTTCACCTTGAGATTTGATAAAGTAAAAAAATTTGCTCTTAATATATAATGCAAGACTCGGAAAATCCTGAATTCTTCCGCCAATAATCCCCAAATCTTTAAGTCTAATTTTCTAATTAATCCTCATGTGACAAATTTATTCAGTAAAACTTATAGATTAAAAAGGAAATACAGTATTACAGAAATTTTGCTACTATCCAGGAGCAGATTTATATTGAATTAGTACTTTATGAATAGTATATAGTATTTTATAAAAATTTATTCTTCTAAAATATTGAATGTGAATTTTATAGAAATTAGTTTTTTTTTTCAATATTTGCTGTAATCAAATTTTATTAAAGTTATATATTCATGTATATATTTGAATTTTATAAAAAACACCTGAAATAATATTAGTATCATAAAACCGTTATCCGTTACTGTTTATTATTATCCACTTGTTCTATTATTCGTTTGCATAATATATGCAATATTATTATAATAACTTATGCAATTGTACTTTCGATATCTCAACTGCACCTGCAATGTCGCATTCACGACAGCGAATGTGCATAGAATTTAACATGTGTTGCGAGAACGAGGTTATAGAATAAATCAGTATATATGCCGTGATAAGATTTTATAATATTACGTCATATGTCCAACATAAGCATCAACTTTCAAATGTATCGCTCATACTTCGAAAACTATCTTCGCCAGAGTCCAGAAGAATCCTGGTCGTTGTCTGCGAACTTGTCTGGCGACTCTTTTCGCTTCCTCAGAAATAGTCGATTCCGCGATCATTCTGTCTTCAATGATATTCTTCAACTCCACGTCGTTCTCGTCGGATTCTTCAGATAGTATCCGATTTAATAAGTTCATTTTTTTCATCATTTCCTCGTCCTTCTTTCGAGTTTCCTTATCACGCTGATCCAATTGCGAGATTTGAATATTACTCTTTTCCTTGAGAAGCTCTCGATTTTCAACGCGCTGAGGTACCGCATGATCGTAGTATAACTCTTTATGTTCATATTTCGATATGTTGAATTGCTGTTGCTTCTCACCGGGAACTTCGTCAGACTGTATCGGACGAAATTGGTAACGCATTGGGTCGTTAACTTCGTAACGTATCCATTGCGGTTTTTCAGCCCCGCTGTAAAGCGGACTGATCAAGCAGAGAAGCAGCCAATTGGCTACAAAAGAATTGATTGATAATACGTACATCTGTAAAAAAAGTATACATGTAAGATTAATGATACGTGTCGAAGGTGATCAACTGGTTAATAAATGTTCAAAGGGAAGATATCGAAATACGAGAGTTCGTGATCGGGAAAATACAGGAAAACACATCTAAACCTAAAAATGTTGAAAACGGATGAATATTATAAATATTGTTAAAGTGTATAGTTATGCACATCACACATTGTATAGGCCCGTATTTCACACTTAAGTGCGGCATAACGTGAAGTAAGATCGCATATATTATGTAAACGGTTATAACAGGAGCACAGATAAAGCGTTGTAACTACATTTCACGAGAGCCCGGAGAAATATCACGCAGTGAGAGTCGGACGATGACTGTGATTCACGAAAAAGAATCAGCAGTTGTTATGTAAGTAACGACGCTCTTCGTTTAGCGAAATGAGGAAAGTCCGTCGGAGAAACAAAACAACAACGACGGAATTGCCGGCTATATAGTTCTGGAAATGAAATTCTTATGGCTATTATAATTGATTTCTTTCTCAAATCAATTGCGCGCAATGCAAAATTATTTTCTAAAAATGCTCTTATATATTAGGGGTATTCGTAAGCAATAAAGTATTTAAAAATGAAGTACACATTTAACCTTAGCTAGCCACGCTTATTTTTGAGTCTTTAATTCATCACACTCCAGTCCGTGAGATAGCTCGACTTTTTTATTTTCATTTTAATTTTATCTTAAATTATTTTTAAGCTTGTAAATTGGATACATAGAATTTGAATAAGATATTTGTGACATCAAATCAAGAAAATGATTTGGATTTAAATTACATTTATTAAAATAAGAAAAATATTAAAAATAATGGGAAAAAAGTGTTTTTGGAAAAAATTTTCAACTGGTTTTGCAAATGCGATTTAAGAAAAAGTAACGTTTGTTTATTGTGGCGAATATCTGATATTTTAACAAAATCAAATAATATGTCATGTGATATGTTCCAAAGGTTCTAAAAGAAAGCTAGAAAACCGAAAACGTTCAGCAGTCCATTGAACCAAATATGACAAATTAGGATTAAAAATTTATGGATAAAGCTTGTATATTTTAATTCTCTTATTTTTAATCATTGATATAACAAATTGAGAACCTTACCCAAATAACATGTTGAAAAAATATTTTTTATATTCCATTATATTATTTATTATTGTTTACACTATATTATATAGCTCAAGTAAAAACCGATAAGATAACAAGAATCTTATAAATACTTGATTGTTTATGCGTACTCTTAACAATAATTGTTCACCTATTTCACTTATTATAGATTATCCAATAAAATAATTCGTGGACATTGATCAATGTAATTTAATTTTTCACCGAAAATATCACGTTCCCTTGATATTTCACCATCGTGACTTACATTGGCGGTGAAGAGTTTTAAATCCAGACATGCGCGCGCATGCGAAAGTATTTCTTCTCTTCTAACGCGCGCACTTCGCTCCGCACATTACTCAACCACTCAACCTTCTCGGACGTTCTTCGGCACATATACACACATTCTCATAAGTACATACACGTACAGTTTTATAGTTTCCGCATCTCTCGATAGCTCAGAGAACGAAACGGTCCGCAAAGGTTTTGCACTGGAATGTCGCAACTCGAAGAATCCATTCCGCCGCAGAGTCTGTACACCGCCCACGGTTCGTCGCAATAAAACTGCGATGGTCTCTATCGCGTGTTCATGCACGATCATCCGGAAAATTGCCTCCTTTCAACCCGATATGCCGATCGTATCGTGATGCCGGTGGCCCTCGTCGTTGGCCGAGCATGACTACTGACCAATGCCGGCGACTCGTCGCCACCAGAGCTCACTGGAGATTTCGTCGATCCATTTCAGCATTCTCGCCGTACGTGACACGAACAAGTAACACGTGCACCGAATTAATGTTCGACCTTATTGTGCGTGTCGCGAAAAAGCCCGTCGAGTATCCGGTGTTGCAACTCGCGTGAAAATTCGGACCACCTGCGTCGCGTTGCCTCGTAGTGTTTCTATAGACGCCTGGCTAGTGGAGACTTGCGAAATCCATGAAGTGTTCGCGAAATACACAACCTTAAACCTTGTACATCAGAGGATCTCACCCGGCAAAATATATTTCGAAAGATCGTTTATACTTGTATCCGTGTAATATATTTTATAACTACGGACAATTGATCGCAATTGTTAGGAGCACAATTGATTATAATAATAGAAAACGATTGATATCAGAGTGCTCAAGAAAAATGATCACATTCAATTATATAAGATTATACATGCACACACACAATTATATAAAATTATGTGTAATTATACAGGGTGATATAGAAGCCTCTATACATAGCCATTTTCAAAAATTAATAACTCGAAATTTTGCGTGATTGTTTGCAAAGTGGTAAAAAACTTTCTCGCTCAGTTTAATCCGTTCTAGCTACATATTGCCGCTTCGTTAAAACTTTCCGGACACCCTGTATATAATAATTTTTTTCCTCTTACATTTTTTTTATCACATGATATCGGTGAACCGTGCTTACACAGTGTCACGGCACTTTTTCAGAAGTTTGCATGTCGATGTACCGGACAGCACACATGCCATAGCAGCACACCTGAGCCCGTAATGAGCAAACGAGACTTTCTACAAGACTTCCGCGAAATACATCGCGCGATGATTTCTATCGATTGTGAAAATGCAAACCGCCAGATCCGCGATAATAATCGCGCTCACTTTCCTTCGACCGCGCCGCGAGTTTTCCTTGCCGGCCAGAAGTTTTCGCGATATACGATCATGGGAATTTGCCGTCCAGTCCGGAGACCAGCAGCCGCGGCACTTAACCGCCTTGTCTTCGAAAACCCGGTGGAGTCCACGTGGACTCTACGATACATAACGACTTCCATCTTTCACTTTCACTCTGCGTAATCAGACACGTAATCGGGATCGCTTCCATTATACGCTTGTGATAACGATGATGCGTTTTCGCTAATGATCATCATCTCTGCAATAAATTATTCCGCGTCTATTAACGAAAGCTTCCGGTAGATGAATTCAGTTTTTCTTCTCACGTTTAAATTTTCTAAATTAAGTATCTCTACAATCGATCGGTAAAGAAGTTTGTTCTTCGACATTTTGATCTCATTTTCCCCATCTTTTGCTTCTGCAATTAATTATTCGATCCTATCTTTTTCGTTTTTCTTAACTCGAGTTGATTTAAAAAAATAGCACGTTAATAAAAAATTACAATGCACCATGCTATTATTATAGAGTTACGTCAATATTAAAAAAAAAATTGGGCCAGTTTTGTTGATGCATGACACGCTCCAATTAGTGGTCGGTTTCGCTAATTATCTCGTGATGAAAGGCGTGCCTAAAATAAGCGTACGCGTTCGTTCGCGCCGAAATGTTGCGCGTCCATCGATCTGCGAGTCGTTTCTCTATTGCGCAAAATTCAAATTTTTATACGAAATAACTGACGGCAACAATATGGAGTCTCAAATGTTTTTACATAGCGCTGCAAGAGAGCATTGCAAAAGTCGTAATAAACATCAGTTATATTCGGCGTGTGGTGAAATATTCCGTATGATAAATAGTTGCTTTCATTAAGCGTGAGTATCACCAACTGAACTGTCGCAAGAAAAGTTTAGCAAGTTTGAAAAAGTACAAACAAGATTCCACGTAAGCTGTATGTGTACCATACGCGATCTATCTTTTTATACACACCTGTTTTACGTAACACACACGTCTCACACACACGTGCATGTCTCTACTTATTTACCGTTTTTATATCTAATATACAATATTGAAACAGTTATATAACAAAATATGATAAAATAAAATTTATGCAATCACTTGTTAGTGTAATTTATTTCCAGTTAATTCTATTTATATCTATAATTTACTTTCTTTTTTTTAAATTATCTTTCAAATTATTATTTTAAATTATAATAGTTTGCCTCGAATATCGCTTTAGTATATGAATAAAATAACGAAATTGAACGAACACACTGTGAGCCGAATAGATAACATTGGACTCGAACGATAATCAGTGGCTAATTACAATTACAACTTTGACTACGTGCAAACGAAAAGCGTGAGATTGAGCGATATACTTTCGATAGATCGTTCTCTCCATAAATAGTGTTCGGTAGCTCCGGCTATGTGTTAAAGACCCCTGTACAAAGTCCCGGCTGCTCACAGGCTGAGGCTCAAAATCGTCTTACATCGTGAATTCAATAGAATAGTAGGCAGACTATCTCACGTAACACAACGTAAGATACTGAATACGGTAATATGTGTTTAACAACGTGAGAAAGAAAACGTCGAAATTAGAATTCAGTTTAGGGCTCGAGAGAAAAATTCGAACAAATTGTGAACGGCTTTGTTATTATTCCATGAATATTATTACTCTACGATTACCAGTTGCAAAATATATCTAACGCAAATACGCCAGTTTGAAAAATCGTCAATCTCACCGAACTCGCTGAAAATTTTGAAGGTTCGATTTTGGAGTTTGCGTTGTCACGAACGAACGTCACGGAGATGCAGGCTCGTCGACGTCGATCGTTAGGTAACTGATCGCTCACGTTTCCTGGATCGAGTTTACTCGCAAGAAAATACGAAAAATACAAAAAAGGAGCATGACATGCACAACCTATTCGACACGCAAACATGACAACCACCTGCATACCATGTGGCACAGTTACATTAAACGAGCAATTTTATTTCCTCATTTTCCTCCGTTTAAACTAGTCTTCATTATTTGACAGGTATGAAATGAAGCAATCTCCGTTTTGAAATACACGTGAATAGGCGAGAAAGAGGAGGAAATGTAAAATGTATGTAAACTCCAGGCAGTCTTGAATGCGAGTGTGAATCTGATTCCGAGCACGTAGTGTTTTTGCGTCAGACAGACGACGTTATCACGCAGAAATTTTTCCTGGAAAATATTTTTCACTCCTCGGGACACGAGTTAGATAGAAATCGCCTGATAATCCGGGAGTTATTGCGAGGCGTAAAACGTCGTTTGAAACAGTTTCTCCTTCTAACGGAACTCTCTTACCTGCACGTTAGATAAGAACTATTAGCAGAGATTTGATTGTTTTCCACACACTGTGTTACTTCACACACATGCACATACACGCATACGCGCACCGGTCCGTGTGCGCGCCGGTTCACGTGGATGGCGAGCGCAGCAGATGAAGTTGCGGGGACAAATGCATCTTGCTGGACGGCAGAATCGACACTAACAAGATGACTTCTCTCTTCCACCTCCCGATACTTCGAATCGCTCCCGAAGGTCGTCAGCATTTTTACGAAAGATCTTACGTGTTCACCGCGGCAACGTAAACGGAACAAATCGACGAAATTCTGTAACCAGTCTCATCTCACCGCCCGAACCGGACGTTCGAAATAAGAAATTTAGGGTGAAATTTCCGGCCCATTCGATAATTAGCCAATCGCCGAGATCACGAGCAAGCGATCACGCTTAGATAAGACCCGAGAATGTCTAATTTGTTGCTCGTGGAAATTCCCTGAGCTCGTTGAAATTCTCCCGGCGCAGGTATGTACCGACGATTCACCGTGTGCATTGCGAGATTCACATTTCTGTGTCATGTTACATCACACGTGCGCACGCACACACATACACACTCACGCAATTGTCATATCTTCTTTTTTATAGATAATTGATAATAACGTTTATTTAAGTCACACGGTATTATGTAAATGCATCGAACCCGCATCGAACCCGCTGTTTGTACAACCTTGCAGAATCATTCGATGCTTTTTTCCACCTAGATCTTTCCCACCGCTTATTATAGCGCATGTTGCAACTCTTCCTCGCACTTTGCACGTCGTGATTTATTTCTGTGACGGCGTTGCGTGCTCCTCATTGACTTGTCTGTCAAAAGGCAAACAGTACGAGGGGCCACCGAGTTGGGAACTGTGCAAATGGAACACACGATTTTTTCCCGACGCTTCCACACAAGCGGTGCGTGTATACGATGAATACATAAAGGTCCCAAAACGGACTGGCTATCGCTTTCCTTTTAGTCCGCGATGTGTCATCAATGTATATACATTCAGCAATTAATTTTTTATTAGAATAAGGCGTTAACCGGAAGCAAACGTGCAAACGTTATCAAACATACGAGGAACTCATAGGCACTTCAATTTCGTCTTGAATAATACGCCCTTCATTTTCACCTTAAAGTCCCTGTTTCCTCGTTTTTCCTCGGCCTTCTTGATTAATAACGTCAGAAGTGAGAAAATGAATGTTCGAAATTCTCGTAGGGTGCATGCGAGAAGCGGAGTCCACCTACAGGAATTCCGCTCGAGGAAATTCTGTTATTATCCTCGTTACATGAGCGATGCAAAATTGCATGCTCCAGTTCTCAATGTTGCCAGACAAAACATCCTGACCGTTTGGTCTTGTATAATAATCGCACGGCCGTCTAAGAGATAAATCATCGCGTGACGTTAGTTAACAATTCCTGCGGAGTCCTCATACCGAGTTTAAAACGCATATCATCAACGAAAAATTTAAATATAACCTTGCGGAATCCAACGTATGTGTTTTGCAACAGTTATTTTCTTTATATATGCGAACGAGTAGATGGCGACACGTTAAGTTATGAATCGATGTCGGGAGATTTCCTAAAGATCACTTACGATTTCAATTAGAACAAGGTTAAACTTGTTTTGTAACTGATAACGTATAGACTAGTTTGATGCCGCTTTTTCTACCTTGTTGCTCTTTCTCGCTCTCAGTTCCTTATTTTACGGTATTCCAAATTATTATTTCAACGTTGTTTAATTGAAATTCGACTAAATTGTCTCTCTACAATTATCTCCCTTCTCTTTCTCTCTCTCTCTCTCTCTCTCATCTACATTCAGTTTTTATACATACATCTATGAATAAATATTTATTTTCTGTATAACACAAAAATACGTATCTCTAGTTATCGAAAGCGCGCATCTGAGAGCGTCTCACGATGCTCATTTTTGAATCGCACGTAAAAAAGAATTGAACGAGTAAGTAACAATTGTGGGGGAGGAGACGGGTGAGGAACAGATCGGAAACATGGCGCTATAAATAACAATCTATAAGTAATAATGATAACAATGGTGTCACCGCGAAGGAACGCAGCGATGTAAACATATTTCGTCTAAATTGGACCTACAGCTTTCTATACAGTGGACTCCACGAGCTGAATTAGTTTTGTTTTTGGTCGGCGTGGAATCTGCAGGATATCTTTTTCTCTCTTTCTCGACAAAGGGAGAAGATTATTGAGCAATTTTTCTCCATGGACTGCCAGGCGGGACGATTTAATTCGGATTGTCCGACGGCAGGCCTTTTATGGCGAAAGCACCGCGGAAGAACGGTTTGAAGATCTCGAAGAAGGTTTGTGTTCGCCGGGCCGAGTTCTGAAAAGTGCGAACGAATCAATCGTTAGGAGTCGGGAGGGTCGATTGACGCAGAACGCGCGAACATGACCTGCGAGGATTTAATAGAGTTCCATTTCCATTGGAAACAAATGATTTTATGTTCTTTCCTTCACGCATCTATCTGGCACAGGTGCCAAGTGAAGGGTGACACATTCAAGCGCGTTTATCGATTAGGTTCGATTGAACTGGGTAATAACGAATAAAATCGAACGAGATCGAACGGTCATGCGTATATGCCAACGGAAAGCGATGATTATGATTGCGTGACTTACCGGTATAACGCTGATATCGAAATAATTCGGTATACGTCACGTACATGGTAAAGAACACTTTGTACTTGTGTTAAAATCAGTCCTTGTTAAATTTTTGTGTTAAATGTTTAACATACACTCGTGAGTTAATTTAACATATTGTGTTTATGTTATCTTGACATGTATATTTTGCGTTGAATTGGCATTCAATATGTATGTGTCAAAATAACACATTTTATACTTCACGATTAACGATTTAACTTCACGTTTAGCATATTATGAACATTAATTTTGTGCTAATTTTTCGACATAATATTCGTGTTATTTTTTAACATATTCATCTTGTATTAAATTAACACAAAACCACGGGCGGACTGTTTGGTACACGTGTAATATATACTAAATTTAATGCAAATTTTTTTTATTCTATATGCTGTACTATTCCTTAGATGGAGAGTCACGCGATTCTCAGTCTTACATGTAACACATAAGGTTGAATATCGCAGAAATAACTCTAATTATATAATAGTAAGATTGTAATCATTATAATTATAATAGTTCCGACCTTATGTGGAAGCTTAAAAATCGTGTAACGGGTAAAAAATTTTAGTCTGGGAAATGGTACAACATACACGACTGTACTCACCAAGATCACGCTGTTGAGAACTTTGCTGACGTTTGTCAATAAAGTAAAGCTGGTACCGAAAGCCGCCGATGGGATATCCAAGGACACCTTCGACCTGTCGAACACGACCGTATCCTCTGTAGTGGTAGGGACCGTGCCGACCATATTCTGCGCATAAATTCATACGACAAATCAAGCTCATTTAACGTTCTTGTCCTGCCATTGTTTGATTATGCATTTCATCACTCGTTAAAATTGCAGCGAACCACATGTAATGTGAGAAAATCGCGCGGCACTTTGAAGCCTACACATGTAAACGCGTCTATGGTTATGTATTTATACATGTATATCGTACATCCGTTCTTTGTCATTTCTTTTGATCTGTGGCGCCGTTGAACACGAAAGAGAAGGAACGACCTTGCACCCATTTTGTGATTTTACTTATTAATTGGGGTCTTACTTTATGTATTTCAGATATATTCTTAGATATAAACCAAATAAAATATCCATAATTGAAAGTAAAAGATGGTTTATATATATATATATATATATATATATATATTTACAAGCATACGCGTTCTCATAAAAGCGTAAAAATTTTTATTCATATGATACTTCAGAAGAAACCAGCGATCGCGCGGGCTGTACTTTCAATTTTCGATAGGCGATTTTACTCTCCAATTGTTCTCTACAAGCTAGACTTTCGGAGAAGACTATCGACTATACGCACAGATAAATTCTAGATGACAATAAGGACAAGGGAAAGGATATGCATCAGGCTTTGTGGTACTCCGCAATGAGCTCGTCACACAGACAGATAGACAAAAATAAAATCGTGAATTTATTTGACAGCAGCAACGTCTCCACCATTCGTCATCACCTTCAGCGTCAATCATTATTCTTACGTGTCGAACAGAACATTCGGACGCGCTATTTACATAATTTATACACAGAGCGATAGTGGGCGCACTCGTCTCGCAGTCTCAGGGACTTAGAGAGACCCTTATTATTAAATTATTTACAACTTTCACGCTGGCAGATCGATTCACTCTTGCTCTTCAGGTAACTCAGTGTTAGACAGCGCAGCCCACGATTTAACTGGAAGCTTCGGCTCATCAGGAAAGTGATTCCCGTATAAATTTTCTTTCTTTCCTCCCCGTTTACTCGGACTCACTCTAAAGAAATTTCCCCTCTATCTCTCTCCTTCTCTCGAGCAGGGGCATCTAACGAGAGAGAAAGGGAGCGAGATGAAGAGGGAGAGAGATCCTGCCAATTATCGGCCGAACTGGAAACAAAAATCCACGTTCCATATTACATGGAATAATCGTGCACTCCTCCATTCTCGTTCACAAAGTCTGTTTACTGTCCGTTCGAGATTCCCCGATGGATATGTGTCGATTCGTCGTTCGTTACGTGTCGTTTTGCTTCAGAGGAAGGAAGAAGCTCTTCTCTCAAGCGTTGTTGCTCGCTGCGCCGCTCCAGGCGCAAAATTCAGCCCCGATGTCCCCCTTTTCCACGCTCAATCTTCCCCATCGTCTCATTCCGCTCGTCGTTTACGTTTTGCTTTTTTTAAGCCGTTTTATACTCTGCTTGCGGTGGCGTGTAATCGTACTGTTTGTGCACAATACTCATTTTTAATAGCGGGCATAAGTTGCGAACGGAGGATCTCGAAGACGTTTCATGAAGGATAAGGGCAAGATTCACAGCGACGTTGATTAGTGACTTATTACTGGCGATTTAGCGAAGCGTGTCAAGGCGATCAGTGAACTACAAGTTTTCGTAATCGATTACGCTTTTTACGGATGGCAATTCACGACGCAGAGAAAGGCGCTCAAGACGTAGAGACGTGTCAATAATATACAAGAGCAACAAGTCCCAACGGAGTCGTTACGCAGGAGATCGATAGCTTTGTTAAAGTGCGCCACATTATCATCACGTGACATCAGAAGCTTTAATAGCGTTAGACGGGAGGAGAGTAATAATGTTACAGTGCACATTAATGATTAAATAAATGGATCCTTTACGGACACATATCCAATAGTTTCCTACAAGCAACGTTACGAGTCCTTACCCGAGTCGAAATTTTGACTCTGTGTTAAACTTTTAATTCTACGATATAATAGGAACTAAGATAGCAAACTAAGATAGCAAAATAGATTCAATTTCAATCTCAATAATATAATATAATCCTTATTTTGACCCTAATGATGTTTAAAATTTTTGTTTTCGCTGTTTTAACATTCAAAATAAATCGTTGAAAGTTAGCATTAAAATTTAATCTGTAAAATTAAAGGTTCAAGAGAGTAGTTAGAAGGAGTGTCAGTATCGTCAAAGTAAATGTTTATTCACCTATAAGCTGTCTCAGTGAGCGCAAATTATTCTTAAGAGCGTCAGAGTAACATTAATATTTCGACTCGGATATCATCGTCCAAATTTGTTAAGTGCGATAATCGTTTTTTATTAAGAGATTCGTTAAATTAAAGAACTGTCAGGTCCGTGTCTCGTGATGTGAAAGGTATATAGTGAAACATATACATATACACGCACAAACAAAGGCATTCTCTTTCTTACGAAAACGCACGTGTCAGAGCTCCACAGTAGGGATAGAGAGAAAGAGACAGCTCGCACTACGTGTCAGACATAGAACGGGTAACACGTGCGGGACTTCAAAGTGCATAAAAATCAAAGTTTACAGAAACAGAAGGAGGTGAAAAGAACTTATTGCGATCCTACCCCTCCTACATTGGCGAAAGTTCCGAGATTAATCCCAGCACCGACGCCGGCGCCGGCGCTGCTTCCAGTGCCGCCGCTCGTGCCGCCGCTGCTTTGACTCAAGGTCGACAGGGTGTTGATTCCCGCGGTCAAGAGATTGCCTATAAGAGCCGATCCGCTGGCCGATCCTGCGGCCGCTCCGCCGTGATCACCTCCTGCTCCTATTCCACGAGCAAAATCATTGAAATTACCTGTATCTTCGAAGAGGAGAAATTCAATATATATACACCCGAGAGAAAAAAAATCTAAAAAGTAAAAAAATATTTATTCGGTGAGCGATAATAACATATTCACTTAAATTTAAATACTTTTTGTATAAATAGAGTAAACCATTGCTTTCTCATAAAAAGTAACAGATATAAGAAAATATGTATATTTTTTCATTTTGAAAAAAAAATCTTTTTTCAGTATAATATATACATATTAGTACAAGTAAATATATGTTATTAATACCCACTGAATAAATATTTTCTTTTTATTTATTAGATATTTTTTCTCTCAATGCGTGTGATTGTAAAAAAAGAAAGAGACAAATAAATATGTGCGTTTGTAGAGCAAAGAAGAGAAAAATAAGTTTATAAAAAAAGAAGGTTTCTTTTAAGAAAAGAAGAAGAAAATAAAAGAAAAAAGGGTAAAAGACAAAGAAATCAAAGTAGAGAAGAGAGAAAAATAAGAGAAGGAAGGAAAGAGAAGAGAGCAGAAGGAAAAACGAAAAATAAATTTTCGTTCGAAAGATTATGTAAGAAACGACTTGAGAGAAATTATTTATAACTTTACGGACCCGCACCAACGCCGACACCGACACTTGCACCCCCGGTGAGACCGCCAGACAGCGAACTCAACGGCGCGATTTTTGCAGCCAGCGCGTTTGTCAGACCGAGCGTTTTTCCTGACACCAGCGTGGTTGCACTGTTGATGAGCGGACCGATGCTACCTGTCGCAGCTTTGAGTTTTTGAGACACCAAATTAGTGATGAACTGCGTGGTGGCGGAGTGGGTGGGGTCGATTCCGAAAGCGGCGTTTTTCGCACGGTTGGCGTCGTCGAGTACCACGAGCGCCCTCGTTTTCGCGTCCAAGAAGGAATCCAGTTTCTGAAGGAAATGTGTTCCTGTTAGAAAAATTGTTAGTACCACGCGACTTGATTAACTACGATAATTAGACGTTGTATCTAACGCTTCGCGTGTATGTATCAATAGAAGCAGTATGTATCATTCTTGGTCTGAAAGGAAGGCCTCGTTACATTCCAATTACGTGAGGCCTATTGTAAGGGGGACATAAGGGAACATCGCAGATCAATAATTCTTGAATTGAGCTTACTCCAAACACAAAGTTAATGATGCCATTCTTCACGCCGAGCGCGATGCCGATCTTCCTCTTTTCTCTGCCGCTACTCTCGCCATCGGCTGAATCATCTTCGACCTCCACCACGTAGACCTGCGTAAATCAGAAGTTTCCTTAAATTCGCAAAACACTGCGAATTTGATTGAAACGGTTCGAGACGAAAGGCGTAATTATCCGCGGAAAACCGAAAGGAAGACGATCAGAGAGACTTTAGTTGCAGGAAATAGCATTCCTCGTTCGGATTCGTGTCGATTCTTCGCGACATTTACTCACTGATTAGACGTTTGCGAAATCAGATTCAAACGTTAGGGTTTCTCTCTGCGAATTTGGACCTCCTTTCGACCGTTTCCGCAATGTTCAACGAGAAATCCACGTCTGAAAACTATTTCGCGCATAATTACGCTATACACGCCATATACATAATTGCCCGGCGTCACAATTTCGCACATAATTACGACTATTACGAAACGTACACTTTCGTTGTGACCGATCGTGACCGGCTTATATGTGACTGACGGTTCTATCAGGATCGTATCGTGATTGCATTGACGCGCGATCGCATGTCAGGGTGACAACGATATTTGAGCTCATTACCGGCCGACACGCGTACACCACGTGCGTCGCGCAGAAATTTCGTTATACGCCTGCACATCCGTTTCTACGTGTTTGAGTTCGTAAAAGCAGCGCCAACCACTTTCACTCTTGACTCGTTCTCCGAGAGCGTGTTTCTCTCTTTTTCGTACACTCTTCCTCTCCCTCCCCCCCCCCCCCCCCCCNCTCTACTCTTTCTGTCTCTTTACGTCGCGTCGTCTGCAGGACTTTTAGCTGGCACGATCGTCGGTCAGAATAAGATACAACTTCCTTGAGACACAACTCGTCTTTACGGCGACGGATAAACTCTTCCTCTCATGAATGATCATTCATGATTGAGAAGAAAGAAGAGGTATTAACGTAAATTATAAATTATAAAATTTAATGCTGCTTCTCTTCTTAACGAGCTGAAGAAGGGAAACACATGAGGAAGCCACGATAGAAATGTGTATGAGACTTTCCCTTGTATCAATCTTCGGGATATAAAATATTTATACAAACTGCGCGGAATTCTGGCATTGATCGAGGTCATGAAACGCTTTATCCCGAAATGTCTAATTATCGGCGTTTTTTGCAACCTTTACATCCGCTTCGGTAGTTCGAGATTTAGCGTTTTTAAATGTTGTCACCCGTATCGCCCGAGCTGTTCGTTCGAGCTAGTTCTAGGCCGAGTGAAGGTATCGGCGCTTTTATTTAGTATGCTACACTTCGGAGAGAGAAAGGAAGGACAAACACACGACGTAACGCGTAACGCGACACAGAATCGCGTTCTCGCTGTCTCGAGTTCTCTCGCGTCAGTCCGAGAAGATTCGGCTGTCAGTTTTGCAGCCGCCGCTTTGAACAGATACATACGTGATCGCAACGACTTCTCGTAGCGGAGCTTCATCATCGCATTCAACGCGAGAGATCGACAATAGCCCCGCGCGGCGGCAGGTATTTTTTAGCATTTAAATGACCTCATTAAGGCTAGACGCTTGATCACCGTTCTCCGGAAGCAAAAGCACAATTTCATTCTCTTACTTTCTAAGACGACTCAAGGTGATTCACCTTGTCCCCTGATAACTCTCTTGATACACGACGAGAAATCGGAAGACGTTTAGCGACAATCCGGCATCTCGACGTCCCGGCGACGAGTCGCCTCGACATTGCGGAGAACCAAATAGAAGTAAACGAGACTACAACGTGACTTACTTCGTTCAACGGATCGAGCTCCTTCAGTGCATCTTCTCCCTCCGCTTCTCTCTTGACAATGGGGCTACAATTGACAATGGCTACAGCCAAGAACAGTCCGCAAAGCGCGCAGAAAATCCGCATCGTGTGTCCTCTTCACTTGTCGATCTGCGTTTCAATATAGTTAGTATAAGTAAAGAAAGGCTCACAAAAGTAACGCAATTTCTGACAGCGGTCAAATTGAAAGTAAATCGCAAATGTCGAGGGAAAGGATGCTCGCGTAAGCTCAGTGCGTTTTAAAACTGACCCCCGGCCGGATCGTTTCGACTTCATGGTCAATAATTGGGTAGTTACGGATCCGTAATCGAAAGGGAAAGAGAGAAAGAGAAAGAGAGGGGGAGAGAGAGAGAGAGAGAGAGAGAGACAGTAGCGAATAAATCTTGTTACAAATGTGTTACAACCTTTAAGAATTTATTGAATTTATACAGAAGTATTAGTAACAAGACTGAATCAGCTGATGTAAAACATTCGAAATTATGACAGCGATTAACGTAGCGGTCAATTACGTAAGAATAAAATATAAATAGAGAAAAGCAAAATAAGACGGAAAAATGAAGAAAAAAGAGAGGGAAAACGACACAAAACATAACATATATAATAAGAATAAGAAAGAAAGATATAAATTAAAAAGATAAACAATAAAGAAGTAAGAAAGAAAAATAAGTGAAAAATATATCTAGAAAGGAATAAAAATAAAAAAAGATAGAAAAAAGATCAACAAACTTTAGTCGATGATTGTCGTTCGTCGTCCACGGCGGATGTCAATTCGTCGAAGATTAAATAGACTCTTTCCCTTCGACACTGATGGAAATCCCGAAAGAAACGTAACAGAAATCTTCGCGAACGCGTCACGTTGCGGTCGAAACAAACGCGTTAGTTAGAATGCATGGACTTACGAATGCCGGTGTGGCGAGTGCGTCTGTGCGTGCGTTCGTTCGTGCGTGCGTGCGTACGTGCGTGCGTGCGAGTGAACGAGCGAGCGAGCTGAGGAGTGTGTGAGCAGTTGTGTACCTGGCGAAGTGCGAGGCTCGTTTGAGGACCACGGTGAAGGAGGTCCCGATATCTTACGGAGCCGAAGGGGAACGTGAAGGCGAGCATGTGTGCCCCTTCGAGAATCGAGAATCGAGCACCGCGAGTACCACGCGACAGCCTCGCCTCCAACAGGTGGGGCGTCCTGCGGCTCATTCTATTCGCGCGAGATCCGCTCCGCGGTGTATCATCCGAAGCCGGTATCCTCCTAAGAGGACACCTTCCTTTCTCACTTTTCCCATCATCCCTGAAGCTCATGCGGCCTATTAAACAGTACGAGTGAGGGGAAGAGACGGGCAGTTGGCCCGCAGTTTGAAGTTTACACCCGAAACAGAATCGCCAAAGCCGCATGTAAAACACCAATCAACAAGTAAAGTTTTTATTCATTTCTTTCATCATATGTTTCCAATGAATTCATCATTGATTGTCTCTCACGTCGTGACAATCGTGAAAGTCCAGTTGGATGTTTTCTGAGAACCTTTCGGAAACAAATCTTTCCACTGGACGTCTCTGCTGAGCTCCGAAGCGCGTTGAAGAAAAAGTACGGTTTGAAGATTGTTTTTCTAACGCACTTCGAAATGCAAACGTTCAATGAGAGAACCCGTTTTTTCGAGAAAAAAAAGTCCTCATTGGACCATCGGCTGCGTTCGAAACTGCATCAAGAAAGAAGTGTTCAAATCGCTTCGAGATTCGGAGTATGATCAGTCACAAAAAGGCTATAACACTTTTTTTTTCATGAGTTTCGCAACGCATCTTGTATCCAATAGGAAAATGTATCTTGCGAGAATTGTTGAGAAACGAATTCTCTTATTAGACATGGAATGCCTCCCGAGACTTGTAAGAAAAAGTGTTGCAATCTTTTTGCGACTGACCATCCTGCAGGATGGATCTTCGTTAATTTAATTGTTTCACAAGGATGCCCCGTCATTACGCGAGACGTCCCAAACGTAAAAGGCGACAAAGTTATGATTATCTGCAAAATTGGTCGTGCAAAAGCGCAAAACAACTAATATCTGGATTTCTGGTTGTAACCGTTCTGCCGTTATTGTCGTTATTATTACTGTTACTGCTCGCTGGCTAGATCTCGATGGTCGCGCGCAAGCGATGGTAAGGTCGGTCTGAGCATTAATTATGATATTGCCCAGTTCCGAGATGAGGAAAGAAGATAAGCATTGAACATTAGTGAACGTGGGAGCTCCGCTTACATGGCTCGCTTTCAATTACGCTCGTTGTATCTGCTGTCTTTTATCAACCTAGAACGGCGGATTGAAGTTGCGCGGAACGCACGCGCGTGCGCGTGCAATCGCGCTCCGATGGTATGTGATCTTAGATTAAGTTTGGAAGAAGCTGAGGTTACCGTAGGCTGTTAAAATCCGGTTGTGCGGTTGCATTAACCGATGCCGGAAATTCACGTGTGTAATACGCAAATTAGAGCCGCGGTTGCGTGATTTTGAAGCTCGACGGTTCTCTCGATTTCTCGACCAATTTTCAGCGAATCGTTCCGCACAAAGGGGAATCGTCATACTTCTTACGCTTGCGTAACGATGACAGTTTCTCCAAACTGAATCATTCCTCTCGTTTGTTTTACATATTGCAGAAATATATCTCAGCGCGAAAGCTGCGATTTTCGCACGGAAAAAAAAGAAGTAGTTCCCACAGTGTTAAAAACTAACTTCCACAGGTGAAAATTAGCTGTAGTGTAACTGAAATTTAGTTGATTTGGCTAATTCTTTTTCAAATAAATTCTCACGCTGCATCTAGTTTTTACTTTCAGTTCCCACGGCTAAAAATTAGGTCTGATAATTAAATTTTAGTTGTATTATATGGACAGCTAATTCCTTTTTCCATTGAATACGGATCGTCAAGCAATGTCGATCGTTTCCATATTGATTTCGTTTGAACTGTGCCCGAACTCGAGTATTTTGATTACGAACGGTCCGATTGTGCAATTTGGCGAGGTCCGTCGCCCAGGTTTTAATTAGAGCGTTTGATAATCGGTCAGCGGAAGTTAGCAAACTAGAATGGCCACTCGAAGAAACGCGCTTCCTGCTCGTCAGTTATAACGTTGCGTTTAATTATGCCTAATTTTACCGCCGCTAATTATCGTTATACGTAAGTACGGGCCGTACTTTGCGCACAATTATCGTGCCTCACTGGTCCGATCCCAGCGACTAATCGAGATGAACTCTCCTTTCACCTTGACCATAATCCTTAAAGTACCGTATTTCTCATCGTTAAACACTTCGACGTTTATAAACATCCTACATTTCTCACGCGTATTTTCTCTCCTTAATTGTTTGCAGAACTGAAATAGAGGAGCCGCGTAAAATTTCATTATTATACCCGAATTCTGTCGACGTATATAAAAAATTTTATAGTGACAATTAAATAAAATATAAAATTTCATAAAAAAGAAGATATCGAGATTTGATTTGTTATGCTTCCGTTTTGTGTGTGTTATAACTTTATGTCAGGAATTGTGTGGAGTCTGCTGTTAATAAATAGTAAACGTTTCTTAGCAAGACAAACTTCACCGACGATCTATTCTCGTACTACTAGAAATATGGCAAGATTGAAAAGAATTTGTATGAAAGAAAGCTGTATGATATTTCCTCCGCATGTATGTGACATCCATACAAGGCGTCCTTTTTGTATCGAAGACTGAATTTGGAGGAGTACGCACTTAGAAATGCACTTCGCACTGCTCTCATTGTGACACTTGCAACAAAGCGGCTATGAACTATTCCACGCACAGTTCTGCATCGCTACGACTTTTTTTCAGGACAATTGCTCAACAGAATCCGCTCCCGGTCGCTCAAGATCGCCATTTATATGCGTCACGTGACAATGGATTCACGTCTGAAATGGATTGCGATAACTTCATCGTTTGACCGAATGTCACAATAGGACGTTAACGTCGATACGTGAAATTGATATACATTGCAACTTTAGTTCCCTGACGAAAACAAACAGAACGAGAAGGAAGAACAAGAACGTACACAGAAAAAAGTGTTAGATTCAAGTAAATAATTATTCCGATATTCCTTAGCAAATTTTTACTTGAATCAAATAATATTTACTCGGCAGTAAAATATTTTCCAAGTAAATTACCCAAGTAAAATATTTACTTGATTCAAATAAAATTTACTTGATCCGAATCAAAATTTGCTCAGAAGTATTGGGGTAATTATTTATTTGAATCTAGTACTTTTTTCTGTGTAAGGGAGGCTCGTTGGTCGAAAAACAAATTCTTCATAAATTATGTTTACATTGTTGCTCTACAAGTTACCAGTTAAAGTGAGAGAACGGGTCTATAAGAACCTAATTGCGATTTTAGTAGCGACATGCTATTTTTTATTTTGCAAATTTATATCCTTTCGTATAATTAAAAATAATGTATCGCTAGAAAATAGCCGCGTTTAAGATCTTATAAGTAAGCCTGTTCTTTATAAACTGTTCATTATAAACTGTTTATTGCGTCTAACGGGAAATCCGCTACCCCGGACTCTTTGCCCCGCGCGCAAGTAGTAAATGTTCTGTGTGGTCAGACTATCAAACTGCGCTCGTGAAGTGGCGCCGCGTAGCGATCGTGCGAAAAGACACGCGCGGCATTTCAACCGCAAGGAAACGCCGGATGACTTTCCAATGAAAGAGAGAGTAACGCACTTCGACGATCTTCCTACGGGAGGGAAACAAAAAGAGGAGCAATGTCCCGCGTTCCCGGACACGGATGCAGGTTTACGTAAAGTGACTCGCTGGCCGAAATGTGGCTTGAAATTATGCAGGTCAACGCCTCTCCGTGGGCGCAACGGACGAAAATAAAAATTAAATTCTTACGCAATCCTTTCGATTTTACTCGTAGACTCTGTTGTTAATGGCATACGGTTGACTGAATTCTAATGAAGATCATGCTCGAAAAGCAAAAAAAGGATTCCATTCGACTTTTTCGTGTGAGTAATAATGCTGCTCGGTATAAACCGGCTGTTTTTGTACCTGAGCACCTGGACTCGCGGAGTACCACCCGGATATCCAAGTATCCGGAACTAAAAACATTGTTTTAATAGAATCACAGATTTTTCCTCACGTAAATATATGCTCTTTATCTCATTCTGCGTATAAAGTCAAGCTCAACAAGTGAATATATATACTATGTTAGATATTTCATATTTTATTTCAACATAGAAAATTATGATATAAAAACTACACATAGGGATTCGTGAATTTGCTCTTTGTCGACTTTGTCTTGATACTTTTGTTCGTGGGATGATTTGAAGAATAAAATAAAAAATAAAAAATAATCCTGATTTCGGGTACCGGGGGTTACACCTGAATATCTGGATATTTGAGAAATTTCATTAAGGAAGTGTCCAGGTATTGATACCGCTAGTAATAATTTCTCTCTGTAACTTATCCTTCATAATCGTCTCTTTAATGTCTTTTCTACATATACGTAACCAATGCATATATATTGAGTCGGAAAGATTTACGTACGATTGCACTTGTGACAAAGTGTTGTAAGAAGCATTCCAACGGTGTCGTGTAAGAACGAGGGGAGAAATTTACATTATACGCGCTATTACGTCCGTTTGACGATAATGTAGCAATAGATACATAGATTTATTTATATTTCAGAATCCACACATATCTTAGAAGTGGTGCTATGTTGTAACGTACATTTATCAGTGTTGCGTATATTTATCGATGTGTGCGACCTTTCACGATAGTCTTCTTTGCTTTATTTCTTTTATTTATTCTGCATTTTACGGGCAGAAAAGCGACGCCGCGAAAATCCTATTTGAACGACCTAAGAACAAGCACCCGGTGTACACAGTTCTGAAGACACGAAACGAACGCGCGTGAATATTGACTTACCCGCTACTCTTCCTGACACTTCTGTCGAGATTTCTCTCGATTAATGATAAATCCGCAACGTTTCGCGTGATAAATATGCAATCAGACGTACAAATTGGATGTTTCCAATTAGACAGG